GGGGGGGGGGGGGGGGGCGGAAACAGATATTGACCGCAGCGCGGTATTGACCGTCGGCTACCAACCGACCTCTCCCCACCGGTATTCTTACGAAGTAAATAAAAATGCTTTCCGTTTCTTCCCTCGCGAACAATGACAATCCTCGGAGGTCGTCGACCTTCGCGGCTAACGTGAGAAAGATCGAATTGTTCTTCCTCGTACGATGATTACAGACTTTTTCAAGCGCTGAAACTGACCTTTAACAGACGTATCTCTCGTAGCGCGATCTTACGTATGAGGGGATCATCTTCGGTTTGTTGAAACTTCTTTACAGCCACCAGTTTTCCAGTTTGCCGGTCCCTACACTGGAAGACAACGCCGTAACTACCCTCGCCGAGCCGCGCCAAACGCTCGTAACGCTCCATGGCTTTGCTTGGCGCCCGAGACCTACGGAAAATTATATTCTCGCCGTTCATGCGTTTCTCTCTTTCGTTTTATCCGTGATTTCGCGTCGTACTCTCGCCGAAAATTTATTCAATCTCTCGTTTTCTCGTAAATTTCTCTATATATACATGCCGAGAATCGACTGAACGAATATGTGGAAATCTATTAAAAGCACAAAGTTTTTCTTTAATACCCACTTTTTATACTTGGCAAGGCATGGCAAGGATGTTAACTGTTGCGTGAAAAGCATAGTATCACCGCAGACAGTACCGGCTAGACTGTTCCAGTGGATGACCAAGGGTCAAGCTACCCCACGAAAGAGAGAGAGAGAGAGAGAGAGAGAGTTTTGCTCTATTCAAACCCAGGCGATTCGGCGCAGGCGCCAGCACGATCCTCATCAACCAAACCGAAAGCGGTAAAAATTTCATGCGGTCGTATAATGGCGTTACAGTATCCATTGTCGTAATATGATGGCATAAGGGAGATTGACAAATTCCATCAAGGGGAGGACCGCTCGATCAAATGAATGCTCTTTGACATTTAACTCTCGGACGCGAATGAGATATCGATTCGTCTAATAATTACACGATCTAATACTACGAGCGAGCGGACTGCAGAAATGTTATTTCATCGTTCTATCGTTCGATTAATGGAAAAGATTATTGCAAGCCCGGCCGATAAACTGTGAAGAGACATTTTTCATTCGCAAGAGTGTCGGCTTTGTTTGTTTATATTATTACGGTATATTATTACGATATTGAATTTTTCATCCAAAGAGAGAGGTTACGGAAAAAGGAGCTCTCACCACTGTGGTATATGCTGCCGATAATTTGCAAACCTCACGTCGTTTACCATATTGTTGTATTCGCACGCATTATTACGCTTATCGATGACAATTTGGAAAGTTTGATATCGTTGGTGCGGACATGGCTGCTTAGGTTACGTTTATAGAGATGGACGCGCGTGAAAAATTTTCAAAGCGCGAATTGTCATGTAGCTACGTTCACAAGCTTGTTTTATTACTTGTCTTAGTCAAAGTCGCATTTCGGTAATACGTGGTAAGATTTGGCACGATTCCTTTATTCGACCGGAGATTTTGTTTCAGGAAAGATACAAATTTTTTCAAAGAAAAGAAGACAAAAATTTAAAGCAAGAGACAATCAATTATTTCTCCCTTGCGAGGAAGTAACGTATAAAGGTCCGGCGCGCAATGTTCCACATGTGAAACGTTTCGGTGAAAGAGAACTTGTCAATAAGAATCGCTGGTACGTACAAAAATCCGAGAATAGAATTCATGGAGCTCGTTGATCGGGACACCCTTATCGGCGAACATACCGGACGGTACTAACACGTCGCTTTACGTTGTGTGAACCCTTGATTATTGACAATCGATATTGCGCTGTATGCGTCTATATTTAAGTATCCTGACCGTGAAAGAGGTCAAGACTGTCCATCGCGGAATCGGAGACGGAATTTCCTCACAAATGTTGTATTCGCATAAAAATCTTGTCCAATTTACGAGGAAGGAGGTTTTTTTCGTTTCAAACATCCGTAAATGGAAGCTCTCTCTGTCTTATAGCTCTTTAATCAACGCCGCTTTAACGTACATTTTTGCAAAAATCTCTCCTTACTTTAGTTTCCTTTTTTATTATTTGACGAAAATGACCGGACGCTAAATACTGAGAATATATTGGAAAATTCTAACTGACCAATCAGTGTGTTTACCTCCTCGGTAGCAATGGTAGCGTACTACCGAACAGCCAAAGCTTCCTATCTTGAAGCCATTTGTCCATTCGAAGGCTTCTTACAGAAATCTCCCGCTACGAGTGAAATATTCATGTCGCACCCTCGCCAACACCGTCGTGACAATCACAGAGAATTTCATTTGACGCGTCGACATTGTTGACGAACTGACGTTCCCCGATGGCAGCACTACGTTTTCGTCAGAACCCACCCACCGATCGTGTATTCGTCCTTTTGCCTAAAACCACGCCGATCGATAATATTCGATGCGTCCATTCCGCGCAAGTTGATCTCTTCTCTCGCAATGAAATGTTGTAACGCCTCAAATTCATGAAATTGTGGAACACGGAGTATCGTACGCAGGGGGTTAGTAGGAAATATAACAATCGTTAAGTTATATAGTCAATAGTCTTTTGATATTTATTTCTCACGCAGGAGTAATATCGCCTTGCTTACACAGATGAGACACGTACGTATCGTTGTTCGACTTTACGCATTTTACCGTCTCTCAACATTCGTAGGATTTCACACATGTTCAACCACCATCGTTACAAACGATTTAGAGTGTATTTGCAAGGTGTCATTATCTTGTCACGTCCCTTGGAATAATAATTTTGCGCGAAAAATTCTCTCTCCGGCACAACAGATGGGATATTCGTGAAGAAAATTGAAATCTCCTACTAGAGGGGGACGTGATGAAATTTCAGCCGTACTCCTTTCAAGTGACTAACACATCGATCGCGTTTACACGCTCTTTGCGTTTCTTCGTTTCCCGATGTTTCGAGTCTCGCCTTTCACGGTAAATGTTACCAGGTACCTTTTGGTGCGATCCAATCTCTCAGTTGGAAGTGCAATCACTTGTTTCTCCTCTCCGTGCGTCACTTCCACCTAATAAGAAGAAGAAGCGGGTTTTACGCATAAATATATGACACGATATAATAGTCGATATTACCGTCATTTGTCCTCTGCCGCGACTCTCGATTTTCGGAAGATGATCTGGGACGTCTCCAGCCACTGCAATTATAATCTACATTCACACTACGGACACTGACTCTTTTCGGGATCTACGTATGTATACAAGCTTCGTGAAATCAACAGCAATCTCTCGTCCAATTTGTACGTGTCGCTGGTTGAGAAAGAACGTACGATATGTGTAGACTGGAACGGAAGTGTAAGCGCTTGTCGCGTGATGGCAACGATGAGTCTTCTGCGTGCATTGTTTAGCTTCGGTACAAAAATCCGGAGTGGTAGGCTTTCCTTGCAGTCTCCTCAATTGCTCGTACAGGAACGCTTCGAATTGCCTAGTAACGCGCGACACTCGTTATTATTTCAGACATGCGACAATGAAAAGTAGGGTGCCCGAACACCAATCTGGAAGTAAAGTAACCTGAATGTTAACGGTCGATCGTACTTGACGACGCCAAGGGTGGGTCCAGTCATGCCGGACTTGTGAAAGGCATCCACCTGAAAGAAATCCTCACTCAGCACAATAGCGTTGACACGCTATCATATATATATATATATATTTTATTATTATTATTATTATACACCAACCTGCCTCTTTACCAAGACATGTTCGTTCGCTCTACCGTGACGGATCTGCAGCCTCTTGAGTTCCATCAGTTGGAAGAAGATCTTCCTCTCGAGATGATAACGACGCAAGCTAATTTGCACATCCCTGGTGACAGTCTCCATATTAAGGGCTTGTTGTTTCGCGGTGTTTGGGCAACATTTTCTCCTCCGTGGAATCCTCGAGACTCTGGGACTCGGCTCTATCCCGCTGTCCCTGCCCCCGCTGTCGCGACGTTGCTTCCTCCACGGTCGATCACCCTCTTCCGAGTTCTCGATTTTAACCAAGCGACTGGCCGATGGTACCTTGTTTTGCCAGCGCAGGAATAATTCGAAGTAATAACGTTTGTCGATTCAAGAAATAATCCATTTCTTTTTTTTCTACTTTCTTTCTTCCGTAGGTCGATTCGGCAAGATCGTCGCACGGACGAGAAGCCGCGTTTCAATCAAGTGATAAACATAATTTACCCGAGGCAACGAAGTTTTAGATGCGGCCAAGCCGTGCTCCTCCTCGCTTGGCAAGACATCGACGACCTCATTGTCTTCGAGAGTCTTTCTAATTTCGTTCCACGCCGGACTGTCTATCACGGCGATTATCGCGCTCCGATCCAGGGAATTCTCCCTTTCCTTCTTCTTCGAGGCACATCTTCCCGTTCTTCTCCCGGTGGACGGCCTGGAACGTCGAGTCTTGGAAGCTTTCGGAGAGCAACTGTCGTCGAAGTAGCGGAAATCTCTGTCTCCTGAAATCTTGGTCTGTTAGAGTGTTTGCTCGATCAGGCGAATCTGTTTGTTACAAGAGAGTCCCAACCAGAAATGACGAGTCGATGAATAGTACCGGTTGATAGTCATTTTCGATCTTGTCAAATTTTACGTCCAAGTAAATTTTAATTACAAGTCATAAAAGAAAAAGGTCGTAAGATTTTCGCGCAACCTTAAGTGGAAGACACACGGTATGTAAAATTCTTGTCATGAAATCGTCAAATCGCTAATTATAACGATATATAAATATTGTTACGTTATATAACTGCGCAAACAGTGATTTTTCCAAGAAATGAATATAAGTCAATGAATACAGGTCGCGTTTTAAATTATCATTATACATTAATTTCCATATAATTGTTATTTCCCAACATTATGCCATCGTGGTATTTTTTTTCAAAGAATACATTATGATACATCCTTTATCGCATATATATCAGAAGGTCGATCATTAATGATAACGTTTAGGATGGATTTTATACAGGATCGATGAGTTCTTTTTTTATTTAAGCAAAATAATCTAACATTAGTCCGCATCATTTTGTCGCAAACAATATTTTGCAGCAACTAATGTCGATTACTGGCCTGTATTTAGGTTGAATCGACTAGAAAAACCGACTTCGATAGACGGCCGTTACAGTTTGATTTTCATATCGCTTACCTTTAGTATGTTAAGGATGTGCGAAACGCTCGAATAGAAACCTGACTCGAAGAAGAGAAACTTACCTGTCTCAATTTTCGCTTGTTCGTCGTTCGGTTTCATGTCGCGAGACGATCTTTCCGAGGAAGGCGTCTCTTCCGAGTTCGACGGTCGTTTGGTCAACACGTCCATTCTCTCCTCTTTATCCTCTTCGTCTTCTTTCAAACCGACGTTTTCAGCCGGATCGAAAGATTCGGACGTCTGTTTGGCGATTAGCTCGTCAGGACTTTTGTCGCGCGCGTCAGATTGATTCGCCTCTAGTTGAACGGCAGGGAATTTTCCGTTGTCTTCGAGCGTTTCTTCAAGGATGGAGGCGGAATGAAGAGAATCCTCTTCCGAGATCTCTTTCTCGTCTCTCTTTTCCGCGACGAAATCTCCGGAAACATTGATGCTCAAATCCTCGGTTGTTTTCTCCCGCGATTGGCCTAGAGTAAGATCACTAACGTTCGATTAATTTCTCAATGATAGAGGAGAATCGCCTTACCTTCATCGTTTGCTTCCTCGAGCCGTTTGGTATTTTCCGGAACGTCTTCCTTCCTTGATGGAAGAGAGGTGGGAGTATCGGGTATCTGGTCTTTGTGAACCATCGCCGTCACGACCACTCGTTCCACAATCTCCTGACTGGTGCTGTCAGTCGCGTCGTATCGGGACTCTGTGATCCGTGATTCCGCGGGCGGCTTCTCCGTCGACTCTCGCTTTTCTTCCGGCGGCTCGCCTCGGTCCATCGTGTTTTCCTCATTGGACGTTTTCAACTTAGAACTGCGTTTGCTCTCCCTCGGAGTCTTGGATCTTATGACTTTCTCGCATTTCTTTTCCAGCGATTTCTTCACCACGATCACTTCCAAGCTGTCGTCGCTCACACTGCTGCAGTCAGCCCCGTTCGGTCGCTTTCTCGCGTGTCGTCGTCGCGTGCCACGTCGGTTCGATTCGACGGACGAGTATTCGCGCTTGCGTCTCGTCGATCTTGCTCGCTTTCTTCGTCGATTGCTACTGTCGTATCTAGGCGATTATTATCACTCGATCGAAACGTGCTGCTAATATTTGTACGTACGTAAATGAGGCGATATTTACCGGGCGGATTCGCTGCGAGCTCTCCTCTGGTCCTTTCGCGTCTTCGGCAGCCGTATCTCCTCCTCGCTGAAACTTCGGCTGTCCCGACGAGCGAGCTTCCTCAGATTCCGCCGCGTCCTCCGTTCTATCCAGCGTTCCTCGTAGTAGAGCTCGGGGTGGCTACTACTGTCGCTCGCCGTACTACTCTCAACCGTATGCTTCGTTCGGTATTTCGCTGTAAACGCTAAGATTGGTGAGAGAGAGCGGACACGCGGATACCGACCTTTGTTCTCGCACGCTCCGAGATGCTGCGCCGTGGTGCCGCCGTGCATCTGAATCAGTTTCGCGCAGTCCCTGTGGCCCCTGTAGAGAGCCGCGTCCAACGGGGTCATCGAGCTGCCCTTGCTGGTGCGCAGCACGGCGTTGATCCTCGCGCCATGGTCCAGGAGGAGCTTGCACGCGTCCGAATGGCCATGCAAGGCCGCGACGTGAAGGGGGGTCTTGCCGTCCTGCGTACCGACATCCAGCGTGCTCGGTCTCTTCTTCGCCAGCCACTTGATCAACTCGATCCTGCCGGATGCCACGGCCTCGTGTCCGATCCCTGTACCCCGCACGGTCCTCGCGTGAAGCGAGCCGCCGTGCTGAGTGAGAATCTTCAAGGTCTCCAATTGACCTTTCGCCGCGGCGCAGAGCGCCGGCCTGAAAGACGGTCGAGAGGCTAGAGGCCGTGTCCCGGGGAATTTCATTCGCGACTCTGCTTACGTTCTACCCTTTCGATCCTGCCGATTGGGATCCGCCCCGAGCTTGAGAATGAGGGCGGTCGCGTCGGCGTGGCCCAACGTCGCAGCGTAGTGCAACGCGGAGCAGCCGTTGTCGTCCACATGGTCGGGCTGAGACCCGCAGAGATTCACCAGCGCCTCCACGCATCTCGCGTGACCTCTCGATGCGGCGCAATGAAGCGCCGTCAAGCCGTCCTTGTCCGAGGTGCCCGCTGCCGCCGCTCCTCCAGCCCTGCGCGCGTATGCTCGCGGTTATGCTTGAGAGAGAGAGAGAGAGAGAGAATCTTCCTTACCTCGCCAGGGCCAGTACAGCCTCCACGCTACCGGCGCTCGCCGCCCACAGGATCGGTTGTCGGCCATCCTCGTCCTTCGCGTTCACGTTCGCGCCGAATTCCACGAGCGTCTGCAGCACCCTCAGCCCGACCTTCTTCGGGACCGCGAGCTCCGCCGTGGCGGCCGCGCCGCAGCATTGCGCGGCGTAATGCAGCGGAGATCCGCCGCGTAAATCACCGGTGGAAGGTCGCGCGCCGGCCGCTAGTACCAATCGAACGCATTCCGCCTCTCCGCAAACTCAGAGAGAGAGAGAGAGAGAGAGAGATTAATGAGCACCGAAAGAGCACCGGGATAGATAAGTAGAATGGGAAAAATTGTACCGGTGGCCCAATGAAGGACACTGTGCCCCTCGAGATCCTTCGCGTTCACGTCGGCACCGTTCGCCAGCAGGACCGCGACCAGTTGGGTGTCGCCGGCGATGACCGCCAGATGAAGCGGCGTGTGACCCTCAGCGTCGGGGGCGTTTACCAGTTCCGGTGCCGCGGCGGCAACGGCCCCGCCGGTTGCCGCGTCCATGCAATAATGGAGAGCGTTTCTCAAGGTGCGATCCCTATAATCGACCGTCGCCTCTTGTTCCTTCAACAGTCGCAAAACCCTCGCTCTGTTGCCCTGCTGGCAGGCGTGCATCAGAGGCGTAGCGCCGAGGTGCAACACTCTGAAACGGCACACATGCCTGTAGGCGTCGGAGGCCAGCCTCTACGACGTGCGCGTTGTACCTGTAAGGCCTGCGGCAACCTGGCGACGTACCGCTCAGAGGCGGCAAGGACACATCGTTGCGTTCCGTTCTCTTCGGCTGAGGCTTCTCCTTCAACGGGATCGGTGGAGCCTTAGTGTCCATCCCCGGCTACGCGTTGAAGCATCGCGCCGAACATGAGATTGTGCACCGCATTGTCATCTTCGATTCGCGGCATGGGACATTTTTCACCCGCCCCCCACTCGATGACCCAAATTTTCGCCTACTGACCACGTGCTGACCAGGTCACTCGCTACCATAGAAACCAACGGTCAAAACACGCGCAAGGTCGCCAAATCTTCCCCAGCCGATCTCTAGCCCGCATTACTGACACGATTCCCATCGATCTACGACCTCGTTGTTTTTCTCCCATCGAGTTACGCCCGGAAATCGTGATCGAGAGAGTTTAGCAAAAAAAGCCGTTCGAACGAACTCATGCGCACGTTTAACGCGCGGCGATGACTGAAAATCGTTATTTCGTTGATTCAACGTGCCGCACATCGATCGTTATCGCCCCGTTAATAATTCGCCTCTCTCTTCATCCGCCGTGATGTTAGCTTGAATATTTCATACCGGAGAGAAGCCCCGATCCATCCACGTTCTTTGCAAATTGCATGATGGATGCATCGAATGCGCTTCTTGCGCGGAGCAAAGAGAATGTGGTGTCGACAATTGTTGGGAGGGATTTCGACCGATTGACTCGATTTAAAATGCGCGGGAACGCGCGCGCCTCGCGAGTGCTGCTCGCGAATAATATTTCGCTTTGAAATAGTGTTCGCTTAAGACCGTTGCACGTGAAAAAGTGTTGTAACTTCCTAAGTTTCTGACAATCCAACAAAAGTCACGTTGTTGGAATTTTACGATTAAAGTTTGGTCAACCAATAGGGGAGCGGTTTCATATCGTTGACCAATCAGAAATCACTGGAAAGAGGATCGCACATGATGATTAGAGTATTATTAAGAATGAACGTCAAATTTTGCGGTTACGACATTTTTACGTGCAAAACAATTGTCGGACGCGAGGCATCTCCGCTACACTTTGTTTCTTTTCAACAATTATTCGTATCATAATTCTTGATCCTCGCTCGCTCGTCGTCATCCGAGAAACGCTAATATATATATATATATATATGTACAAACTTTGCGATTTGCGAAAGTTGCTATTTAATATGTTGAAACGATATTAATGATGCAGAAAAAAACGTCTATCATGTGCGCGTCTACATATATAGCTTTTAATACTCACTTTACACGTCTTGAACGGCATGAGATTTAGCGAGTAAAAACATCGTTTTATTAAACATTGCTCCAACTCTTTGTGACGACAATGAAACACACCTCTGGAGGGTGGAACGCGCACTGAAGGCTCTGCGTTAGCACAGGTGAGTTAACGTAAGGGTTGCTTAGATACCGCCGCGTCTCAGTAACGTACCAATCAATTTCTACCTACCAAACATTGAATCCGACATAAAAAATTGACCGGTTATCTATAAAATTAAGAAAGTCTCCCCATTTACGATAAAATCGAAAATTTCACTTTTCTTTAACGAGAGATCGAAGAATTTCTTCTAGATGGAAAAAAAACGCGCATTCTCGACGCGCGTATTCTCTGATTTATTGAATTATTTTGATAACACATTTCGACGCTGACTAACAAATACGACGGCAAACTTGTCGACTCGTAACCGTGTGTGTCTCAAATTTTTCTACATTGTCGCGTATGTGTCCTGGAAGAGACAAAAGTCTAATGTTTATATTACGCTCCAAAAGATGTTTATATGAAAATATAAAACGTGTATGTTTTTCTTATTAAATTTTTTATAACATATATAATATATAGTTATATGATTCGGGAAGAATATATATCTCAGATGTAAGATCAATTGTGGGGGTATAGCTCAGTGGTAGAGCATTCGACTGCAGATCGAGAGGTCCCCGGTTCAAACCCGGGTGCCCCCTCGCATACGCTAATTTTTTTCTTTGCCTTGATGTTATATTTTATGTATGATATATAATGGGGAGAACATGAGCATAACCGATAGAAAATTCGTGTATCACTTTTAAGGTAATGTAATTACTATAAAGAATAAATAAACTTTAAAATTACCTTATACACACATTGCATATAAATCTATGTGTCTATTTTTATTTTCATTCAGGCGTGCGCATATATTTTACCTCAGAACCCCTTCTCCCCTCGATCCCATATATCTTTTAGGAGAAATAATGCCAATTTTCTCTCTCTCTCTCTCTATCTGTCTCGTTCGTTTTCAAAATGTGAAACGATGCAACGCACACTCTGCGTTGCAAATACAATTAGTGCAGGGACTGTAATAATACTTGCAAAATTTTTATTTAGAAACCACGAATACACCGCATTAGTTACGACTGAAAAAATTGAACAAATTGATGCTTGTATATTTCTCATGTTGGAGTGAAAGTGCAAGTGACTCGCCACTTGTGACGTACTACTTGAGAATAAGAGAGTCTTGCGTTGAATCGTAAAGATTGCAAAATAAAAGTAAATCGAGTAGTCATTCAGTCGCGCTACAATCTCGAATCTCTATCAACGACAGAAATGCTCGAGTGTCAATTTCTTGCGCTTCGTGTTCAGCTAAAAAGAACGAACTTACACGGACAGTCGTAGACGGTGGTAGGCCAGAGTGTAACATGGCGGCGTGTAATGCAAGTTGTTTTTAACTTCATCCTTTATGAATAATCAGAGTCTGCTTGCGTTCGAGAAAACTTGTGATACTTTGCGAGCGATTGCGGAAGTACCAACGACGTGAAGGAAGGGACTTAAACATGAATTACAATCATTCGAACGCTCGCCGAGGTAAGCGTAACCTCCGAATTGCAAATGTAAATTTGAACGATATGCTTTTAACACGAATATTTACGATACCGGTGGGAGGGGTAAAGCGTTTTCGTCATATTTCTCTTATGCGCTTTTTGCAGCAGGTATTATTAATTTCATCGAAACAACTATAGAATTTGATTATATGTAATAGAATATCACTAATAGGTTAACATGTATTTCTTGTATATTGTATGAACGATGAAAAGGATTTACACAGAACAAGTTATCGTTTAAAAACAGGAAAGCCAAAGAGATTGCTGGATCCATCGGCTGCTTTATCAGCAGCTCCTCTAACTACTCCTCCAATGTCGCAGAATTTGTATGTGTACAATCAGCAGGTAATCTTTGCAAAACTTATGTATCACACAATTATTCTCTACCTAAATAGCCCTTGACAGAATATGACTGATTCTTAAAGATCAAATGCTTGATAGAAACTTTTATATTCTTCCTAACCTTGTTCTTAGGTACCAGTGAACAACGGTGCGATGCCGGAATATGGCTTCAACGTGTCTGGACAGACACCACCTCCATATGGATTTCATTCGCCGATGCCAAATTATCCACAGAATGATAATCAAGGAGGGGAATTTGCAACTTCGCAATTTGCGACGCAGTTGTTGGCTCAACCAGTTGTCACAAACATGGCAGTAGAGTATGGAAATGCATTGGTCGGCTCTGGGAAGCAGCATCTTGAAAAATATGTTCCAATTACAGCATTGAAATATTACTTTGCTGTAAATACGGATTATGTGTTTGCAAAACTGATGCTGTTATTCTTCCCATTCACGCATAAGGTATGAGTAAAGTTGATAATTTCTGTCATTCTCTCTGCACGTATATAAGAATACATCAAACGATGTGAAATAATTATTTCTTTGTCATAGGACTGGTCTGTAAAGTACGAGCAAGATGTACCATTGCAACCACGATATGAAAAGAATGCACCCGATATGTATATTCCTACAATGGCATTTTTCACATATGTCGCTATGGCAGGATTAGTTTTAGGCACACAAGGGCGCTTTACTCACGAACAATTAGGTATTCTGGCTAGTTCCGCTCTTGCTTGGGGTTTCATTGAATTGATCGTTCATATTGTAAGTTTGTATGTGATGAATCTTCAAACGAGTCTGGCAACGTTAGATTTATTGGCATACTGCGGCTACAAATACGTCGGTATCAATGCGGCCCTATTGTCATCGTTGTTGTTTCGGAAATTCGGTTACTTTGTGACTCTATTGTACTTCAGTGTCTCTCTAGCTTTCTTCCTGATGCGATCGTTAAAATTAAGAGTCATTCCACAAGGCCATAGTTCGTACACAGCTTCCGGCAATAAAAGGCGACTTTATTTTATACTGTTTCTAGCTGGCATACAACCATTTCTAATGTGGTGGTTGTCATATCATTTAATCTAAATATGACGCGAGAAAAAATCTATCAAACGTACAGCCAGGGGAAGGAAACGTGTGTATATTTATTATTTGGTTCTTAATATCACCTGTACATTTTTTGTAATAAAATTCGAATATAATATCATTTGGGCAATGAATCGATTTGTCTCTTTAGCCTCCACCCTTTGAACAGGATAATCTCGTTAAATTGAGCAGATGAGGGATACTCATTGATCTGCTTCGATTGATTTTTTCAACAAGATGTAAAAATAGCTCTACAGATATCTGTTATTTCGGTTTAGAGCGATTGATTTCATGCGGTGAGACATTGTTGACAAAACGTGCGAGAGATGTCGCCAGCATCGTGAAATACGACGGTTGCAGGCGGGTCAGTGTGGCGCCACCGATGACCGATCGTTCACGGTAGTTGTCTGTGAGCCGCGGCAAGAGCGGGTGAAACATTGAGATCTGTGTGTGTGTGTGTGTCTTGTGGGTCGCTTGGCCAAAAATGGCGGAACGGACGAAGGTGACAGCCCCGGCTACCCGGCCCGTTCCTATGAGATTGTTCGCTACTTGGGAAGTGGATCGCACTCCCCCGAATTGCATACCCAGGTAATATTGCGGCATTCTTCGAACAAGCGACTTGTGGCTGACGTTGCTTTCTCGACGTTGTGTTACATCTATATATATATATACGCCCTTTCTGTCGCCCTCACTGTCTGTCCAAGATGTTCGCTTTTTCGAGCCTGTGTTGTCTTTGTTGCTCACGATTGGACGAGTTGACGTCTGTTCGATTATCAACGACGGCCCTCGCGATGAATGGAGAACGCGAAATTGCATGGCGATTATCTAATCCTTATAAAACCGTCCATATTTTTATTTCCGAATCAATCGATATTTTTATCGTTGACGTATATCACAATATCGACACAACATTGTCGAAGGACGCGTGAAAAATATCAACGAGAGATCGAGAGTAACATATTTTCTTTTGCTTTTGTGAACATTGATAGCGTTGTATGACACACGTTATATAGATCGTTATATAGATGAATCAACCGTTGCTGTGCCATATATTCGATATTCTCCATTACCTCTATCGGTATTCTTAAAGGAACTTACCATTTTCTCCCTTCGAACAATCGATATTTATTATTTATTTTTTGATACTGTGCCGATATACTATCGAGTAATGAGAGAGAGAGAACATGAATGCCGAGATAAGAAACATGCCTGCTTCTTTGTCTGTAGATGGTTTCTGTCTCTCTTTACGCACATCATTATCGCGCTACCACATATGGTAGATTGATCTCTCGGACAAACAATATACATTACATTGAAAAATGAATAATTCAATCGATATGCACAGTGGACTACACTGCATCTCGTTGTACCTTTCAGGCTATGTTCCTTGACGTTGACACGTTTAGTGATTCTTCGGCCACTTGGCTCGGATTTAGCGTCCATCAGCATCGCGGTTAAAATGCAGAGTTCCAAGAGAACTTTACGATCCAACGAGATGGCTATACCGAGCGGTGGTATGCTCGACACGGAGCTAGAATTGCAGTTTGCGCTTCAATATCCACATTTTCTCAAGAGGGATGGCAATAAGCTCCTGATATTACTGCAGAGGCGAAAACGATATAAAAATCGGACGATGCTCGGATACAAGACTCTTGCGGAGGGAATCATCAACATGGCGCAAGTAAGTCTGCCGAGTCTTGGCGAACGAACCGCGCCCTTGACGAACATACATCCAACAGGTGCTGCAGCGACAGATGGATCTCGAATTGGAATTAATATCGGACAAAGCGGAGAAATACGGCGGTCATTCGATCGCGTTGGCGCGCGTGAGCGTTGTCGCGCTCACTTCGCAGCCGGTCGATCACGATAAAAGACTGACAAATGATCCCAATGAGCGACTCTGTCCAGAATTTAGCGACGAGGAAGAGGAGTTCAGCTCGGAAGGCGAGGCGGAGGGCAGCGACAGCGAACCTACATTAGAGGTGCACAGGCGGAAAAGTCGCGGGAAAATTCCAACGAACGCCAGGGTATGCGCGCGATACTTTTGTACTAGCTTACGGACGCCCCCAATGATTGCTGGTAGCTAAATAAAAGTTTCTAATGCTGCATTCCAGCAGATCGTTTCGTCAGATTCAGTATATCGAATGACGTTCATTTAAAGTGTTGATAATGGCCGTGTGTTTTGCAGCAAAGAAACTTGAAGCAAAAGTTTATAGCTCTGTTGAAGCGGTTTAGGGTGTCGGAGGAATTAGAACATGATCAAGAAGAAATTGGGCAGAAACTCTCGGGTACGTTTAATATTAACGTAAATATGCTGATTAGCTACCAGATTGATTTTGTCAGAATTTTCTTAATGTCCGAGACTTTTATCCTCTGTTAAAGGTGGCGATATGGAAATAGAGGAATTGTTCGACGAATTGGAAGATTTATCAGATAGCGGGCCCGAATTGGACACCATGTCCGTTAGTAGTACACCGAAGCCATCGCTGAGACCCTTTTTTAGCTCGAGTCGATCCCTACTGGCACCACCTCATTCCGGTAAGTTGTCGCGAGTAACCCGACGGTTGTTTCAGTGCGTATCTAGTAGAACATACACACACCACACACACACACACGCGATCTATGGCAAAGCATTTTATCGACTCGTGCTGCGCAAAATCTATATCAATCGGTAACGCGTGTGTACGCATAAGCCCGAATCCGTGATATCAGTGGTTAATTTTGATCGCTTTTGACTCGAAAACTATTGCGATTTTGACATTATGTATCGTTGTCCATTAAGAATTAGCCTCCTGAAATATTCCGTAGCTTACTCTGAGATACACAAATCTCTCTGAACTAAGTGAAAGTCTGGTGGGTTGGCTTTGCATTGTTGCATGTTACGATTCGATAGTAGTAACCAGCGAGGACACTGGAACTGTGTCAGCGACTACCACGTGTCAGCAGCCCGTGGGTCAACCGGTTAAAGAGAAACATCGTATCGGACACACCACACCAGGTATGTCTACTATTCAAAACTTGTGAGGACAAAGTTGGAACGTTCTAAGGACTCTGCTTCTTACCAAACAGCACGTATCTGCGTTTGATATTTTTATACAGCATGCAATGTCAAAAGAACGTATGTGTGTATATATATCTCTCTCTTTGGAGGAAAATGTAATTATATCAGCCACACACAAAATTTTCTACTATTTTTTTTCGTCTTTTTTTTTTAATTTTCTCGAGCGAGTCATATCCTCTTGGGTTCTTATTCTTTTTCCACGATTAAATCTATGGAGTGGCAACCAATGAGAAATGTGTCTGAATTGAGAGAGTGAGAAAAGTTTATCTCGGGACGTAAATGTTATACTTCCAATGAAATGTGTGTGAGAAAAATTGAAAACGATTCAGCGACAACAATTTTGTAGATTGGAGAAGAAACTCGAGCGCATGAATGACCTTGCTAATCGACAGAAGCTTGGTGTTTCGATCACACTTGGTAATTAAGTGTTTTCACACCTTTACACGGGCAAACGTATATATATATATATATATATATGTATACGTATATCAGTTCCTTTTAACGATGCAATATGTTTCTTCAATGCCTGAATGCAAGAATAATCGAAGCGTCACTTCTCGCCTTCACTTGTCTCAAAATGGGATCGAACGCTTAATCTCTGTATAAGTAGACTTTCTCACGTAAAACACTCATACACTAACGCGCGGTAACGTTTCTTCGATTCGTCTGTTTCTCTTCTTCTATTATTCTTACATTTCTTTCTAATACTACTTTTTTCGTCGAAAGGAAAACAAACGAAATATACTGATGTATGTGAGTGGAAATAAAATTTTATCTCGTCGCTTAAATCACTTGCAATTGTTCCTATTACACAAATTTTTGCGTTAGTTTCGAAAAAAGCCTGCTATAGTATGTTTTTACAAATGTACGAGGCGTGTATTTGCTATCTTCCTGTGCGCGTCCCCCCCCCCTCCCTCCCCCCTCTCTGCTGCTTCTTGTATGTAAGTTTTATTAGATCTTCAATCTGTGACACTGGCCTGTATCTCTCTATCTACTTATGTACGTACGTACCCTTTACTCTGTCAATTTTACCCATTTAAACTGCTTTCTTAACAACCAACTGCACACCACTTCACAATTTTATTTGTAACTCTGCAATCAAATCGATCGATAGGTTGGTCTTGGCGAATAAAAAATTTGGCGCGTGCAATCACTTCTCGTGAATCCGAATATACTTTTGGCACATGATCGTGCTTTTATTCACTTTACACGTGTTGTACATCTATGCAGAGCTTGCCAAAATCACCGATATCTCGCTTTCAAGCGCACACGATGGAAACTAAGAGAAAAATTCATATTATTATTACGATCAATTCCAAGAATATCCCCGGTGGAGATGATTTCTCGCGGAAGACAAGAAAGAAAAGAAATGAGTAAAACTTGAACGATTATTTAATAAATAACAGTCAATACACAGGCAAGTGATATATTTCATTTTACGAAGAGAAATGATCTGAAACAACGAATTTGACGGTCGAGCAAATTTAAAAAGTATCGGTGATTTTGAAGCTGTGGATATACGCAACGTTCCCGATGGAATAACGAAATGCCGTTGCAGAGCGAGGAGTGGACAGACAAAGCGACGACAGTTCTCGGAGAGCCGACAGCGATTCCCACCCCGAGAACTGGACGGATCACGAGGCAAACGACCCGCCGAATTACGTAGCAGGTTCACCGCCGAAATCGGAGCAGCCTAATAAGAGCGAGAGCTCCGAGAGAAGAAGCAGACTGTTTGCGCGCGACAGAGGAACGCCCGGGAGTAATAAATCTAAGAAGCACAGTCTGAGCGTCGATTTAAAACCGTCGGCCGATCTAAATAGCACAGAGGTGATTTCGCATGATTATTCGTTGAAATCCTGTCCAGCGTCTGATTCATGTTGATGATTTCAGCCGAGGAAGGCACTGGTGGAACAGCTTGGCCGGGTATTGCCGGACGACAGTTTACCGGAGGCCGTGTCGCTCGTGTCGATCGCGGATCCCGGCGGGGCGGTCCTTGCTGCGAGACTTCAAGAAAGAAATCACAGAGTACTGACGACGGCTTCTCCGGCTGATATCCGCGCAACATTCACCTGCTTGGTCGCGCGCATACAAAAATTGTAATTGCAATGTCTCTTTATTCGTGACGTACGTACTCGTTTTAACAACTTTCTAAAACAATCCAAACAGCTGCAACAGTTCGGCGAAACCACCAGCACCCATAAAAGTTGTGATCGCTGGCGGCGACAGCTTCATCAACGCAGTTCTTCGTCACTACGTCGATCTGCTGAGCTTCAGACCGCCGGATTGGCAGAATTACATGAAGTTCTTGGTAGTGCCGCTCGGCTCAAACACGTTAACGAGATACCTCGGTTCTGTGGACGCGAAATATTCGATGCTATTCGGAGACGAGTGGAAGGAACTTCTCGAGAGAGAAGGGGGAGGATCGAGCGAAGGTGCAGCGAGAATATCGGAATACCTGGCCACGGCGAATACGGTTCTCCCGTTACCCATAGCGGAAGCTATGGTCACGTACAGGTAAATCGCAAGATAATCAAAATATTCTACTCCGAAAGACGATGTTAGTTGCAACACTCGGCTGAAAGTAAATGATGGTATTCGCACAGGGAGACGGATGACAGCAGCCAAATCTTTATCCCCTTTGTGAATGATGTTCGCGTGGGTTGTCCAGACAGCAGTTCTTCCGCATCTGTCGATTTGGAAGAAAGTAACATCAGTATGTCTGGTTCCCCGCCCTCCTTACCTCCTCCGAGCTTGCCCGTTCCACCACCTGGAAAGCTAACACCGCCTAGCAGTCCTAACGTGGGCCAACCGGCGAGAGAAGGATGGGAGCCGGTGGAACTTCAGCTAGATTATTGGGGTAAACAAACTCAAGGTGAAAAGGGCAAGAACACGTTGCGCCAAGCTTTCCGAGCGTTGCATGTGCAAAGACTTCCTTCGTTGGGCGAAGCTCCAGGGCATCATTTGTCCATGAATTATACGACGAAAGAAAAGAAGCAAAAAAGTAAGAATCCATCTTTCTTCTCTTTCATCAATCTCCCTGCCCTGATGAAATTCGCTTCTCTTTTCCAGTAATGAGACTGGGCAAGAAGAAAGAAAAGGAAAAAGAGAACGAGCCAAAGAGTCAAACAGTGGACGGCGTGACACGTCTTATATGTTCAGCGAAAACTCACAACATTCCACTAAGAGGTAAAATTCTCATCTATTTCGTACGTTGGTTATATTATATCTCAAAGGGTTGTCCTTGATATGATTGAAAATGTCATTTAATATGCTTAAAAGTTGTGTCCATTGTGTCATTTTTACCGCAGTGAGCATCGATGGTACCGAGTGGTACGGTGTAAAATTTTTCCAACTATCAGCGCAATGGCAAACACACATCAAGACGTTTCCGATAGCCTTACTGGAATATAATCCACAGCAACAAACTTTGACTAGTACGTAAATTTCAGTTCTCGTCACTACCGTCGGTGAAAAGGCGTATTACTAACATCGGACTCGTTTTTATACACAATTCCGATAACTTTTCAAAACTGCTCAGTAAAATCTGCAGAACTTTATGGACACGCCAATGTTTGAGGTGCACATATAATATTCGTTATATTGATTCGTTGTATCGATCATTTCACGATGGGAAGGATTTTACAATCGAGGTATTTTCTCCCTATCTCGTACGAAGAAATGTATAGACGCGTAACACATGTGCAATCCGGTTTGCACATGCTCGATAATGCTGTCTTGAAACTACTAAATCATACAGTAAATTTGTACGTGCGTGTGTGACTTTCGGCAAAGGTATATAATTATTTCATCGCACAGGTGTGAAATTATGTAAATTATACACGTTTATTGGTATACACGTATATGACAAGCAGTTATATCGAATGTATCCATTTATGAAGATTACTATGTTTTTACTTACACAAACTTTGGAAAGCCGAGAAAGAATGTTGTCACTATCTCTAATGATATCCGAACGGCTTGTGATATTTTAAGGTATCCATCTAAGGTGAGATATACAGGCGCATGTATACAAAAATGTGTTTGTATGTTGAAAGGTTACATTGGACAATGTTATGTGATGCTGCATCATTACTAGAAAAGTCTGTGATACAGGCAAAAATAGTTTCAGCGCACAAAATGATACATGTGCGCTGCATATTATGTGAAACAATCGATATATGCAAAAATCGTGATAACGAATGTGTCGGTTAGAAATTGTTCATTGATTATAATACCGTCTTGTTATTTGAAATTTGGAGATACCTTGCACGTTGCTCGATAAAGTTGCTAGCCCTAGGCCAGTTTCTAGATAAATACTCTGCTCTTTTAAGGATGCTATACCAGATGGATATCCTAAAATATTCACGCACGCACATTTCATCTCAACCTACAGATTTTAGCATGGCTTCGCTGATGTTATAGTTGAAACATACTCTCTCAAGACAATCTTGCAAAAAGCAGGAAATGACAGACGCAATGACGTTGAATCATAAAATACAGTAAGGAAGGAGAGAGAACTGGTTTTGAACATTAGATAATTTTAAATAACAAAGGGCCTATATAATAGAGCGGTTTGCTGTGATGCGTTGCTATTTTTGATGAAAAACAATACGTACGGAAATCATATTAAAATCTAAAAGTTGAGGTGAAACACGCTGTATATATACGCGTTTGTATGTTGAAAGGTTACATTGGACAATGTTATGTGATGCTGCATCATTACTAGAAAAGTCTGTGATACAGGCAAAAATAGTTTCAGCGCACAAAATGATACATGTGCGCTGCATATTATGTGAAACAATCGATATATGCAAAAATCGTGATAACGAATGTGTCGGTTAGAAATTGTTCATTGATTATAATACCGTCTTGTTATTTGAAATTTGGAGATACCTTGCACGTTGCTCGATAAAGTTGCTAGCCCTAGGCCAGTTTCTAGATAAATACTCTGCTCTTTTAAGGATGCTCTTTTATATTTAGTTTGTTTTTTTGCTCGTGTCAGTCTTACCGCGTAAATAATACTCGCGTAAACATTGCTTCTCATAATTTTGGGGCCATATCAAAAAGATGCCGAGATATTTCAGATCAAAGTAAAATAACGTGAATATCGTCGCGAAACAAGCGGAGGATTTTGTTCAACCCTATCAAAAGTAGTGATCAGGAATGGTACCGTCAAGTGACACATTTTGTATTATTTACTAGCTGATGGAAAGATTTTATATATTATCGTCGTTTGAAAGGGTTACTATTAACATGATACCATTGATGTAGCCGTAACGAATTTCTGATCTCTCGCTTCTTCTTTTAATCGATAAAAATAAACACTGTTTTTAGCGACGTAGCTGTCGCTTCGACTGCCTAATGCCAAATTAAAGAAAATACGCCTATTCGATGTTGTCACGTGTAAAGGAAAAACAAAAAGTGTGTACTCTTGAACGGCATGCTCCAACAGTAACGACTAAAACGACGATGGTCGCGTCTTGCCAAAGTAAACGTAGCAATGAAATATCTCCGTTTGCGCTCCTCTCTTTGCTAGTCTGCAATTAGTTGTTAATGCGTATCGAGCGATACATCTCGTAGTCATACATCTCATCTCCGTTTGGTGCACAATTCGTCCAAACTACCGAGCGAACAATTCCTGACGTATTAAAGGCAGTTACGTGTGGCCATAGCGACATAGTCTGTAATGATGATGATACTCGCAGCAGAGCTACCGACGTTTTAATTTTCTCGTAAGAAAAGAGGGAAGAAAAAAATGTGACGAGAGAAACATTGCTACTGCAAGAAGACATACTTTCGGAGAAACTGTCTCGTCGAGCACGCTGAATGACAAATTCAGCAAACTGAAAACCTGCCATATACATATATTATATACACATTTATACATATCGTCGAGCTGCGTCGACGAGGTATCGATAGAAGAGAGTCTTTTTGCTTGAAAGCATTTTATCCGTTGTTCTTTACTCGATCGTGTGCGTTCTCTTGAGAATATGCCAAAACAATCTCGCGCTACATACGTTTTATCACACACATTACAGACAGATGATGATACATGCTAATAATGTTTGAAATCGGAAACTCCTCCGTACTAGCCGAAAGATACCAGCCCTCTCTTGCATATAGGGAAATCTTTCATTTGTCCATCTATGAGCATCATGTGCTTCCGAACTTTGTAAGTGCGATACCAAAGACACACACACGTTAGAGATACGTNCCCCCCCCCCCCCCTATGTAGATTAGTATTGTTTTCTTCTTCGTATTGATGCATGTATATTAAGCGCGCCTCTTGTAATGTTCCTTCTTCTGTCGATTCGACAAACGTGTATTGCTCGTTTTTTTTCTTTTATATCGATCGATCATTGGTCGTGTAATTTTATTGTGTAAGATATTAGAGCGATATAATAATCATCGCGTTGCTTACGGTCCGAGATTGCGCGTGCGATATATATATGCGTAATCAGATTTTGGATTCTAGTCAAAAGACGAGAGAGAGAGAGAGAGAGAGAGAGAGAGAGAGAGAGACGCGTGAACAAGACTCGATGGAATCAGAAATAGCGATTCCTCCGCTCCAAGAGTCGTCGTTGCGCTTTTCTCAGACGATTTGATTAATCGCTCAAGACAAACGATATTTGCTCGGACCGTCAGCGAACGTACGTAAGATACATATATATCGCGGAGAGTTTCTGTTTATCATTATTATTATTACAGCGCGAGCTTTATCATATGGGCAGCTTGAGCTCAAATAATTACAAGTCATTAATGCGTGCGAACGCAAATGAAGAATGGGACTCGTGAGGATTTATGCATTTTTCAGCCACGCAAGGAATAGAAGATGGAACGTTTTTATCACAAAACTGTGTTCCTCTATCGACATGATTGATGATCCCCGACTCCATCTGACCGTATTGATGAAAACATCGCGAATAAATGTGTGGGAAGCTATTTCTTTGCGAATTCAGATGTATGATTAAATCAAACAACGTTATAACGAAGCGTTGAAATGATTTGATACGTGTTTGCAGACGAATACATTGTTTACTATCGAGAATGCTTTTTCAAATGTTTATACCGATATGTACGATACGGTAGTGTACAGCTTGCAGCAGTGTAGAATACATGTAAAACACGTGTTTCGACGTTTCACGCCAAGTTTATCTATCACGTTAGTGTAACATGTTATATCTCTTTTTCGAATATTTCATTTATATGTAAGGTACAGTAAGTGTGTTCAGAGAGAAAGCTATGTGAATTCGATAAATGTATCATCAGACAATTTGAGAATAGATGACCAGGCAATTTATTCGTCAGTGTAGAAAGATGTTGTTTTTCAGAGTTAAATTTGGTTTACTAAAATCAAAACGGTCAGAGAACGCTGAAATAAATTTATATCAATAAATTGGTTAGCTACACTTTTTCATCCAGATCCCGCATGTCGTTGATGTGATAAATGTTACATATTTTTATACCTCGTGTCGTTATGAAATTGTACAATTTTCGCAAAGTTTCTTTTCAAATTGATCGAAGGACAAAGTGAGAGCTCTCTCTCATCTCCGATGTATATTCAGTCAGCGCAAATTTCGTCCTTTTTCGTTCAAAATTTCAAACACAGGTCGTTCAATCAAGATTCTCGAGACTTGATTAATTACTGAAAATGCTCAGAGTGTTCGTTTCCATTCCAAGGCTCCTCTTACCTTGCAGTCGCTGTTTGATAACGTCTAGAGGAAACGCGTGAATTCTCACGGTTCAAATAAAAAGATAACGATCGATTTTCAGCACATTAGTAAAATGCTCCTTTTGTTCTAACAATCAAATTAGCATCGACAAAATCATGAGTTTTGCGTTTCCTCACTTATCGACGTCATCAAACAAAGACGCAGTATATGTATATACCTTAACGCTACTATCAATTTACTCGCATCGATGAACAGAGTGCAGAAACACCAGAGTTAGATATTTTCAATCTCTCTCTCTCTCATGGAAAACAAAGAAACCCCCGGTTTCGAGCGATCTGACGGCAGATTGAGCAAATTAATCATCTGTGTCTGCGCAATCTGCCTTTGTTCTGTCGCCGACAAAACCTGATAGAATCTGACAGCAGATTGGCGGCAGAAAGCCGCAGCTTTTGCAGGTTTGATTTTATCTAGGAACAATCTGCACATACCATCTGTATATTTGGAAAGTAGATAGAAACTCTGCCGAAAGAGTTATTTTATTTCGTAATGATTATTCGTACAATCTCAGGCGCTATTTATTCTATCAGTAGCGATAGTATCTCCGATATGAACTTGTTTGATTAGTTGAATCAACGCGCGCAACATTTATCAATACATACACACATACGTATACACACACACACACACATGTGTGTGTATGAAATACACAGCCACAACTCAATATATCGGCGTTGATTGGTATCTACAATAAATTAAGCGTAAATGAAATATTAAATATAAAAAGAATATAAAAAAAAATTGTGATGCATAATAATAACAAAGTAAAAAATGCGAAATAATATACGCTGTTATTTGTATAATTAATTTACGACCGGTGTTTTCATCGAATCGTTTGTTAGAATTTTGTGTGTCATATACGCAACGTTTATATATACTATTACTGATGTATATCTATAATAAGCAGAGATTCTTAGATATATCATTGCACACTCCAATATTAAATTCACAGCTTAGACGAGTAGAAATGAACATTTTTTATGTGTACGCGCGCGCGCGTATGTAGCATTCCTTTTTACTTATTCAAACGCAGCACCAATTACATCCGATACAGTCACTTTGCGCGGTACATAACATGTACTTTACACAAGTAACGCTGATGTACAGAGTATATTTATATCGAATAATTTAAAATTCTATATAAATTATACATATATGCTTATATTTTTCACATTTAAAAATTAAAAATTATTAATAAATAAGATAAATATGCATGCACGCGCATATATATAAGAAATGTTAACATGTCTAACAAATATTAACAATAACTTTACGTTGTGCCTTTGTGCGCGCGTGTGTGTATGTTACTCGTAAAATTGCAAGAAAAATCTGTATATATCTTTACGTGCGCGCATGAACAAACACGTACAGTCAGTTATAGGACGATTGCAACACTTTTCTTTTTTTTTTCCTGTAAGCCTTGGAACGCATTTCGCATCCAATAAGAGAATTTTTTAGTCATTTTCAGGAGATACATTTTCCTATTGGACACGAGATGCGTTATGAAACTCATCGGAAAAAAGTGTGTAGCCGTCCTGTGACTGACCGTACGTGTGTGTGTGTGTGTGTGTGTGTGTACACACACACAAAATATGAATGCACATGCAAACAACAATTGTTTGAACAATTTTACAAAGCACAACGAAATGACAGAATATCGACTCAAATTATATGATTTTCTATAATTATCATATACTCTGTTATTTGTTCATTCTCTCCTGCGAATTAATGACGAGATTGTATCGCGATGATATAACGGAAGACATCATTCTCTTGTACTTTTACATATATACTGTTTACATTAGTTAATTTCCATAAAGAAGATATTTAGACTTCGATATCAAACGACACAAATATACATGTTCAAGAAATGTCGAAAGCCGTAAAAAAAAAACGTTTTAATCTTGAAGAGAAACTCGTTTTCAGATATTGTCTGAGCGGCGCGTATGCAATATTAAAAAAAAAAGAAGAAAACGGAAGAGACTTATGCCGCCAATGACAAAATTTTTTATATACAGAATATTTTGATTGCGATGCAACGGTAAAACGGAAAGGTTGATAAAAAAACAGCGTATATTTCTGGCGCACATCTCCTATAATAAGTCAACTTCGGTCTTTTTCCTTTCTTTTTCACGGCACTTTGGTAAAATTTACTTTAAAGGCTTCTCTCTCTCTCTCTCTCTCTCTCTCGCTTTCTCGCTTTTTCTCCTTTTCACTCTCAGTTCTCTCATTTGAAACTGTGTACCAAGTCTACAAATTTATAGCATCTTTTCAATTTCTTTAATTATTACGCGAGAGTATCGTATTGACAAATTTGATATAAAATGTATGAAATATACCATCGCGTATGACTGAAAAGATCAGCCAATCATCGAGTATCATTCTCGAGTCTTTTATTACATATATATTTAGAGAACTATATTCAATAGTTTTACATAGAAATAAATATCAAGAGACAAACAAAAAGAAAACGATATAATTTCGTCGGGTGGCGCAGCTTTTTCTCACTAGACTAAGTAATCGTGTAATACTGAAATTTCGCGAGGTTCAACTGTCTACGCAGAAAAATCGGAGCAAACTGTTGATTTTCCAAACATTCACCTCTCTCTCTCTCTCTCTCTCTCTCTCTCTTTCTCTCTCTCTCTCTCTCTCTCTCTGCAACAGTGCGACGAGACATGGTTTTTGACGGACATCTGGCGATTAATTTCACCGTAATCTCGAACGAGATTTCTCTCTCGCTACATCGTTAAACGATAATATACGTAGCGAAAGAAAATGTGTACTTACGGCATCGCGAAACTTTCGTCGTGTTTTATCGTGCAAATGATTCGAACGAAAGGTGAGGTCAAGACAGCGGTAGAGGAAGAGTAACGAATGTAAAAAATTTACATCGGCTGCGTTGTTGCACGACGTTCGGCTGGCCAAAGTCGATACAGGGGAAGTTCATAATGCTGTGCATAATCACTGATGGACCGCGCTTGACCTTATCTTTCGACACACACCCTGTATAAACCTTTGAAAACGTACGCACGCGTCTTAAAAGATCATTCTAAGCCGAAACAGCATGCCAAGTGACAAGCTTGAAATTCAGCGCCTGAAATCCAGTGTTTTTTTGCATATCTATACAAATGTAATAGATTAACTCTTTATTTATTGCACCAACATAAGACGGAGACCACAATTATCGCTGAAAATCTACAATATCTTCTCCTAAAGAAATATATATATCTTCCAATCAGAACTAATGATGACTTTTGATAAGGCCTACCTAATACATACATGTATACACATTTACTTATGTATCGAAATGGGTGTTTCAGCTCATCATGCATGCCACGTACACTTGTTGTGTGTCTCGACTTGACGTATCGTTACCAAGAGTCGCCCGTAATTCTTATCATCATGTAATTCGAGGTAAGCGAAAATACCGCTACTTGGAATCATGTGAAATCTGATGCCGAACTCCCTCGGTAGATGTTGCGACTAACATTGCGTGAAATATATCGCGCGCGAATTCAAACATACATTAATCAAAAGCGCACAATTATTAGTTGAGAATCGGCTGTGCTTCGAATGTCTCGTTCGCCGTAAGAATGCGTTGTATTCTCTCCCCCTTTTTCGCATTACCTACGATTCTTTCGCACGACTCTACGTGTACGGACGTAACGCCAGTGCTCTGCCGCGTAAACCTCTTTGACCACCGACACCGCCCTTTGGTATGACATATCCCCCTGCGTGTCTCGTTGCACCTTCCTCCTCCAAATTGCCGTTACTCTCGATTAAATCGCGCAACGGCCAACAAGCGAGGTGACGCGACTTACCGTGACGTGCTAAAACATGGTATCCCTGCCTGAAAACATGAATAAGTGAGCCGATGAAGCGGGAGGAAAGGAGGAGGAAAAAGAACACGTTCTGCAAACATACCTAGAAGAGATTAATCCCACGAGCAATGCCCAGTGTGCTTTATGGCCCCTCTTCAGACACGGAGCATGGTTAAAGTCGGAATCATACGGAATTAGCACCATTGCTCCATGCGCCAAAGCGTGACTCAACGCGTCCGGATACTGTTGTAGATCCACCATCACGTCCGGCCTGTGATCGGGCAAATATTCCGCCGCTAGTGTTGCCATGAAATCGACACTGTACACCTCTCCGTGTTGCGTGAATCCTCGAACGCGAGCTTCGGCGAGAAGATGGCTCACAGCGACCGGTTTCCTATACTCCTGCGATGCCATTGCAAGTGCCACTAAGCCGCATCTGCGGCGAAATTAGACCGCATTAAACGTTCGTTTTTATTTCTCAAATGAAGCACCAATGCAGGAAGATACAAGCAGGAATTCATATGAAATTGCGAATAGTTTCTTTTCAGTGACAACAATGATGATCGATACTCACTGTGGACCATCTTGAAGGATCGGTTCTACTCGACAGAAGTAATTTACCTCTGCATCTTTCAATTCATTTCGTAATATCATCCTTTCAATTTCAACTTCTGCAGGCGTAAGCTTGATTTTGGCCCAGGGGGGCGAGGAATTGGTATCTCTGTCTTCTGTTTTCTCACACATAGGTACCTCTGGCAAACTCGAAAGGGGCGGAGTTGGTGTTGGCATTTCCCAATGCCAAAATACAAAACGTTGATATTGTGGATTTGCAAGAGGATTAACTAATTATAGTAATTGGGAGTTCACCGACACGATAAGATTTAATTCCACCATTGTTCACAACGATGTTTCGTGAGGCATTCTTTGTTTTTCCTGCGGAAAACCCCTCGGAATCTCTCGCAAAATCTGTGGAAAGACAACTTACAATTGGTTCGCGTGAATCTGACCCTACGAAGCGTTACTTGCGTGCGAATCTTATCTCTACAGTACTGTAGGTGTAAAATAATTGTCATTTCTCAGCTGTCAATCGGATTAATGGATTTGAATACGTCTCGCCGGGAAAAGAGAGCACGCCAGTGGGCGCAACAACGGTGATGCGTGCGATGTATTTTACAAAATCTAACCTTTCTACACCCCCTTCTTCTCATGATAGCGCATCGCGATATCGCAATAACGATCGTTCGGAATATAAACGTACATTGTTGAAATGCCAAGATTCTTACTCTCTTTACAGATGCATCTATCCCTTTGTCACGATGTATGTGACACTTTTGTCTCGATTCTAATAGTACTCTCTCTCACAGACAGGAAACGAATCGGTGTTTATCTGTCGCAAATTACGGAATCAGCAACGAAACGACAGGCGCGCTGCATACGACCGATGTTCCCCCTTTGTTCACCCTGTGACGAGTCGTGACTCATGCGTATATATACATACATTATATAATTCTCCAACGAGAATACTAACATTCGTACACTCTTTCCTATATCTCTACACACCGATATCATACGAGTCACTGTGACACTCGACGATCCTTTCTGCGAGCATCAAGCCTCACTCGATGGGGGCCCATCGACGTACCACGGCCGACGTACAACACGCGTCTGCGGACGCTATCGAGCATACACCCATCTTTAACCTGGTAATAAGAAATCCACGCAGGGTGAACGATACGACGAGCATAGAGAGATGACCGACTTTTTCTTCCGCCGTGCCACTTACCAAAGCTAGGCGCATATGGCCCGCGGAAGTGCGTGCGGCAAGAAGCGGCAGCCAATAAACTTTTAGTTCTTCTCGTGGAAAAACGGCATGTTGATTGGCTACCGCGTCGCTTTTTGCCGCTAGCGTTGCTGAAGCCGATAGTCAGATCTTATATTTAAGACTGTCTCTCATTTCATTGGCTACGAGGCATCTGAAAATAAACTTGAGAGAGTTTTAAATTTACTATGCCATCATCTTACGCTTGTGATCATCTCAAGTTGACCTATAGATGCTTCGTAGCCAATGAAACGTACGTAGTAATTTAATAATGAGACGGTCTTAAATATGAAATCTGAATATCGGCCCAAAAATGTCTTAGGAACCACCTGATTGGCTGAGAAACTGTATAATTAAAATACTTTTATTGATAAAAGAGAATACTGTGAATTCTATGTAATACGACTTTGACTGCCCTTGCGACTTTCATCGCAATCGCATTTGCACGTACCACCGCCATCAGCATCGCGTGGTATATACACATCTTGCGTATACACACGTTCGACGTTGTTTCACAGGCCGAATGATATCGTGTGTTTTTGTGTGATTTGGCGGCCACGAGCGATACTAAAAACGTGTAAATGTTTGGTAAATTATCGGCTCGTATTTAAAATGTAATAGCATCGTTTCCTTAACAAATTCATCATACAACTTATAAGAAGATAACATGGATTTAACCGTTACAAATGATCAGTATATAGAGACGGAAAACAGTAAGTTATTGCTGCAACGTCAAATAATTTCAATATTACTTTAGTTTTGCCTGCTGTTCTTTTTCCAAATTTACGCTCGTCTCTTCAGGTTCTCCCTCAACAAAATACGAATGGACATGGGATGAAAAATTCTCATCCTCATCGATTAAGTTGTCAGAATGTAATTTGAATGTTAAATTTCATCCTGTATATAGCACTGGTACAGCTGTGGTAAAGGGTAACAAACCATTGGAGAAAGGGAGACATCATTTTTGGGAGATTTTAATGATAACACAGATATATGGCACAGATGTAGTAAGTTTATTTATATACTGCTATATACAGTGGCTTCACAGTTGCAACATACGCTATTGTTTCATTAGATGGTTGGTGTGGGAACTGCAAATGCAGAAATTAATAATGCAAGTGAGATTTTTTGTGCTCTGCTTGGACGAGATCGAGAATCTTGGGGTTTTTCATACAAGGGATACTTGCAGCATGATGGTAAGACATGCAAATATGGAGCTACTTTTGGTCAAAGTAATTTAGTAGGAGTACACCTTGACACTTGGAGCGGTACTTTACAATTTTTCCTTAATCGAAAACCTCTAGGTAAGTTATATTTATCAATCCAAATCTTTCATCAATTTCTTTGATACTGTAAACTTCCTATTTCTTAGGTATTGCTTTTACAAGATTGAGCAATGTTACGCTTTATCCGCTAATAAGCTCCACAATGGCTCAATGCGTAATGAAGTTGACTTATAGCTGTTCGATGCCTGTATCCCTGCAGTCTACATGTTTAGCAACCTTGTCACCTCTGCAGCGAATGTATCTGTCAAAAACATTTCCTAGCTTGCGTTACTTTTGTCAAAATATCTTTGCTGATATACTACAGAAGCATACAGGTAATTTTCTGAACTATTTGCAAATCAACCAAGAAAAAACAATCCCTTGTCTGTTTTCATAGATCATGATAACGAGGACATCGAATTTCCCGCAGAACATATTATTTTGGATGATTTTGATTACGCTCTTATAGGACTTGGGAGAAAGAAGAAGCGGATCATTAGTAATAAATTCACAATCATCCCGCCATCACGTGATGAGNAAAAAAAAAAAAAAAAAAAAAAAAAAACTGCCAGTCATCTCCGTACGATTTGTGTGAATCGTGTAATGTGCTCAATTTTATACGAATTATTAGCATTTATTTGTGCCTAATAACTGTGTAAGAAATAAAATGTGATATAAGGCACTGTTGAAGAGGATTGCTCATCCATGAGTTTGTTTCGTAATACATGTGTGTATATATATATAAATAATCTTTAATTATAAAAAGTTACTTATAAAAGGTTCCTTAATTACATTATCTATTTAGACATTTTTCTGGATACTGAATTCTTGTCTGTATGTTTTTCATGTTTTCGCTTTCCGATTAATCCAGATCTGGTGTTGATTTTAGTAGAAAACACAATAGCTTGCGCCCATCCAGCCAATGGGCCCCATAATTCTCGTAAATGATCATTGATCTCTGCGTGAATCTTTGGTGTAACTGTTTTCTGCCCCTTTAAATGTGGTAAATAATTTGTTTGTGCTATTTGAAAAATATGTGTATCTATAGGTATAGCATCTAGATGTCCCAATGACATCAAACATATGCAGTCTGCAACTTTGGGACCAATTCCTGGCAAAGTCATCAGTTGTTCTCTGGCTGTACGATAGGAAACATTATTTTCTCTTTGTAGATTCAGAAGCCAATTCTTCCCACCTAACATTGACAAACGCTCTGCTGCATTAACAATATATCTAGCGCGGTAGCCAAATTTTTCTCTCTTCAATATATTTTCTATCTTCTTTTCCTTTAAAGACTGTATCGTTGGGAAATCGTAATATTCCTTATTTCCAACTGAGCATATTTTTTGGCCAAATAATAAGCATAATTTTTCAATCATATTTGATATCCTGCAAGACATTGGAAAATATTAAAAAAAAAAAAAAACTCGCTGACCTATATATATACAAGTATATACCTTGTTATATTATTATTGGAACTACATATAAATGAGAATAAAGTCTCTACAACGTCTTGTTTCAGAATTCGAACGGCATTGTTCTCATTTAAGCACTTTTGGAAATATGTATCCACTAATACCCATTTTTTGTAATGTTCCCGCAACGATACCGATAACCTTAAATATTCGGATAAAATATTATCATAGTTGACAGAATCCTCTAATTGTCGTCCTTGTACAGTGTATAATAAATGCGTTTCGTTTTGAGACAAAGTCCAAACATAACTGTTAAACACCCCTCTATATCCACCATCACAATTGGTCCATCTGAAATACCGTAGAAATAATAATATACCACATTCTTAAATGGAATTAACAGGCGAGTGCATGTTTGTAAAGGGTTCTTAAATAGTTGGCAAAAATAATAGGCAATACTGTTATACGCTCGAACGTATACACCAAAAGTATACACAAGCTCGGGTCCAAGATAGTTTGATGCTACCTGAATGATTGACCACCGTGCAATGTAAGAGCTAGGTTTAATTCCGTGGGCAAACATGGAATACCACCCCGTTTCACACTTGTTACGAACATGTTGTGAATCATTGAATAAACTCGTGCATGCCAATTCGTTCAATTTCACTGCTCAATGGCGAGAGGGTTGCAGACACAAACATAGGGCCTTCTTTTTTATTGCCACACGGGAGCGTTTCCCGATTGGCCACGTTGCAATTGACCACCACCAACCACACAGCCGGTTTTTTTTCTAATGTCGGTGTAGCCCATGATCAATAGAGATGTGGTCAATCGGGTTCCGCTCTTGCTTCGCAATAGTTTTCTTTTCCTCTCACCAAATCTTGTCGCTTACCAAATCGCTGTTAACGCTGAACAGCGCATTGCTGAACTGGTGCAATAAGTTAAAATGAGACAAAATATACATGTCTAAGGGAGAATTCACACTTTGACAGAAAAGCAGCAACCAATCGGGACTCGTGCTGTAGTTTCTGCTTTATCCACCGCTTACTACCAGTTTTGACTGACTGCTGCTTATCCGTGAATTCTCCCTAAATCAAAGAACCAGTTGAGCAGCTAAAAAGAACGGACCAAATCATTCAACCCCCTTTATATCAAAGACCGTCTTAAATTCATCATTAGATACGGCTCATTTTATTGGTTACATTTGAAGATGAATTTAAGACGGCCTTATATTAAAGGTCCAACTATGGCTGAGTCCGGTCTGCAATTGCATTTTAAGAAAGGGTGGGCTCCGACAGTCCACATAGGTGATTGGCTAATTTAATATGAAATTTTCCAATTGGTGGTCCAGCGGAAAGGCATCGGCCGATGTGATTGGCTTATCGTACCGTGCGGGACCCTCCTTTTCTCCCTCGTGCGATTCTATAAGAAAACTAGGGTTCACTACGCAGCAATGGTCCGTAGCGTTTACAGCATCAAGCGAACTCTAGTTTTTTCGTAAACAATAGCTTGGGAATCGGGACCCTAATCGAAAAATTTAATGATATATCTTTAGACAGTCTTCTCTGTAAAAAGATTGTACGGAAAGAAAAACTACGACGTTTTGTCGGTAACGGTATATAAACTAAGCGAAAGAAATTGTCCGTCTGAATTTTATTTTATATGCGATGGGAAGGAATAATGCAAATACATGTCGTCGGGAATTTTATGCTATATTCGACATCTGCGAGATTATGTTATACGTATTCTAAGGTCGTTTAATTAAAAATTAGATATCAAATACATTAACAAATGGCAAAAGCCACCTCTATTGCTTTTTTAATGTAAAATGCAGTGAAAAGATATATGGTGCCTCTTTTGTAATAACTATTATAGTTATCCAACTGAAGAATACGACATCCAAAAATTAAGAGATTTTATTAAATTTAAATGTAGTTCTAAATGATTCACATATAAGGCTCACCGATATTTACATCGTGCGGCTTTTTGCGATAAAACATCAGGAACGAGAAGGTTTACAATCGGAAGTCAATGGTGTAATATATTTACAAGTTGTAATCACTCTTCGCAAATTGTAACTTTTCGTCTCAGCATAGATCTTCCCTCCCCCCCTATCGATGATTCTCTCGCGCATGGATCGCAAATCTGCTTTAAAGCAAAATTCATCGATAATCATTTCATTTAAGCGATTATAAATTGCGCAGTTTACTTTCTCGTTGCTGATGCAATGCAATAATTATTGATTTTTGTCGACTTTTAAGAATCGAAATGCCGATCATCCTTAGTTTTAGAGAGAATAAAATAGCTAGGAGACGAGAAAATGTTACATGAATGAACGCGTGTCGTAAGAATGATATATACGTACACAAGCCGACATAATAGTCTCAACATAACATGCAATCGGGATATTAGAATTTTCTTAGCGTTGCGCATTATTTATTCAAAAAAAAAAAAAGTAGCAGAAACGACGTCGAGACGAAGCAGTCTAACTAGCTCAACGTCTTGAAACAATGTGCACGAAAATATTAGCAATCTCTCATTATATTACACGTCAGGGGGTTGTGCATGTATGTACATGACAAACGTATACAGGCTTATATAAGTTGAAGAGATAATAACGTATTGTCAATCATCGTGAGATCGCAACGATGAAACATCTTGATTGAATAATCGGGCGATTCTCCTTCTTTCTCGACATATATATTCACAAGTATGCGACAAATTAGAATACATCCCTGAGAATTGCTATTGACACACATCTCCGGAAGAAGATACTATACTCGCCTCTGATTTAATAAGGAACGTTATCTCGTGTGTAGGCCTGCTTTCGGTATATGTGACGCGCGCAATTGCCCTGCCCATTTAGTTTCAAGCATATCTTTTGTTTTTTAAAAACGAAACACTTGGTTTGGAGCACATCGAAGAAGATTTTGCCTATAAAATCTGCCGATGCAGTTCTAGCCATCTTCAAACACGTGCGAAATCTGTAAGCAGGAAACAATAGAGCGGAGGAAGAGTAAGACGCGCGCAGATCGATTCGCTACTCACCGTTCGTCACAGGCGCAATGCATCATGCTCGAAATTCCCCAGTTGAAAAGACCATAACGCGTTTCGAATGCCGGTATGAAAAGAGGACAAGCTGTATCGTGTTTTCGGCAACAGGCGTCTGCCACGCCAAACCCACCCAAATTGGTGTATTTGGTAGCACGGTGGCCGCGGCCGCACCATTGCGTCCCTGGTATCATGAATAAATCTCTTCGGCCCCGACTTTGCTTTCGATCGTTTGTCTTTGCGTTTGTCGTTGATCTCGTGTATTTCCTGCATCACAAAATAAGTGTATTTCTTAACAGAGTGGCTGCTATCAAGCCTTTGACTTCTCTCAATTCCCTTCCAGTAGCTACGGATAGCCACATATTCGCGCGATACAAAAGATGTCTCATCATTGTGTTACCTGGAAAGGATTCAAAGATGCAGAATCAACGACGAAGCTATCAACGCGGAAAGTGGTGTGTGCTATTCGTACCTATGTCGACGTTGGCCCACGGCTCGTATACGCATTCTCGCGCGATAGCACCAACGATCGGACGTCGACAACAGCCAGAGGAGGTCACGGGGTATCCTCGAAACGTCCTTGTTGTCCAGTTGGAATACCTCGATCGACACTTCGTCACCGTCACCGTACTCGTAGTAATAGCTGTGGGGTAAACACTCGCTGTCGTCCCACCGTACGAACCTCTCGTCGATGCAATCGGCCAAAGTTTCACCGGTGTATATCAATTGCAGCTTTCTGCTTGACTTTTCTAGCCAGACTTGTCGCAGCGTTACGTTCCTGACTCTATATCGAGAGGATAAGCGTTATTACAGTCAAACCTTTATGCGATATTTTTACGTTACGCCGACCGAATACATCATTCGCGGAAACGTAATATTCAAGTAGTATCGATTCACGTTAGTCTCTCTCTTTAACGCGCTTCGTTCAAAACTGACTCTCGTTATTATTAGTGTAACGAGAAAAGTATGAAAATAATTTGTGACAAATTATTCATGCGACACGTCGAATCGGGATCTACGGTAAAAGAGCTTTCGTCCTGCGTTTAAGTGCAAAGTGACGCTTCGTGGTTGTGGTATTCCGTGGTATCCTCGTGAGAGCATCGGCAGATGAGTCCCACCTAGGAGGCTAAAACGGGACGGTGATATCGAACTAGGTTTAGGTCCAGTCCGGTCCCTACGTTCCGCGGGAGAGACATTCGCTCGCCAGCGTTCGTTCGCAGAACCTAATCCTTGCTTACTCGACTCGTCGCTTTTCGGCTTAAGAGCTCGGTTGGCTTTGCGGTTACGTGTCAACGAATACTCTCCTATGCTCCCTTTTTTCATTCCTCAATCTATCTATATATATATACGTTGCAACGATAAAACAAAGGAAAAGATCTGTCCTCGTGTACAACCGACGAAAAAAAGGGAGAAATAATCAAATCTCGTGTAATCTCGTTTGTTGAAACGTCCATCTTCGTCTACACATTTCACACCGATACAGTGTTATCATTGTATTTATACACAAAACTTGATACGGCTGACAAGGATTCACACAGGCCGTTTCACAAGGTAGTATCAACGGTACACGTTCTTTGGAACGATGGATGGCATTTGAAAGAGAGCTAACCGGCACACTATAAATGTATACGTAGCAGCCAAGCTTCCACGTATATTGGCAATAGTGAAAGGCGGCATTGTTTTCTCGCTCGCCAACCGAGTTCCCGAGGCTTCGATTCTCCCCGGCTACACTAGGAAGAGAACGGATAGGAAGAGAGATTTGCCTATATCCGAGAAAATGTTATTCTAACAAAGAGGATAGACGCACAAGAGGTTGTTTCTACTTGCGTCTAGTCTTGCTTGCTACGATAACACTCGACACTTGTCTCGAGAAAGAACCATCCGTATGTAAATATCGAAGGATGGAAGTAACTTTGCCGAGTTGAGATTTCGATGAGAAGCAGAGTGTTTTCAAATCATCCATTCAAAGCAATTATCTCGCGCAACACTGTTCGTGCCTGGAAGCACCTAAACATCTAGTGAAAGTGTCATAAATAGTTATGTACGTAAAGCCCCCTCCATCCTCAGTTCTAAATATGCAACATATAGCATTTCGAATGTCTTTCGTCAATTTAATTAAAATGTCGAATGCATCTTATCTGAACCACAATTCAGCATTGAAATATGAAGATAGTTATGCCCACCCCCAATTAACGATAGTCTCTTTGGCGCAGGCTCCAGGCCATCGAATGATTCGTTCCAATCGTCCATCTGACGAGATCCTGATGACCGATATGCTGGAAGACGTTCCGATGAATGAAACGTTCGTTGATCGTGCGAAATATGTGTCTTGTTGTGGCGAAGCTCCGACACACGGTTGCGTGAAAGTGAACCCTAATGTTAACAGCAGTAGTAGCATGAGGCACCTGTATGAAAAAGTCCTCAAGCGTGATATTCGTTCCATCGGCGTAATATATCAATATTATGTGTTGCAAGAAACACTGCATTCTTTTATACATTAACATGACTTTTTTTTTGGTGAAATTCCAGGAAAAATATGTTCCGTTCAACAAGATATCTTTTCCGTAACATCCTCACACTCTCTTTTCTTGCATGAAAAATCGAAAATTATTTAATACGTTAATGAATACAACTGATACTTTATTCCAAACACTGAACAAAAAAAAATTGTTCATATTTCTTAAAGAGTATTGGAGTAGTTGATTAAATTGATATTACTTGAATGTAACACACTGAGAGGAAAAAAATTCAAATACTACTCCGATATTCTCTAGCAAGTACGAACGCAGCAATTTTTTCTCTGGCGCACACACCGAGCATAAAATTCGGTAGAATCAAAGAATGCTTGCGTTTGCATGAACCATGGTCGAGTTTAAGAAAAATGTCTCCCTGTATATATGAAGAGGGACGAGATTTTCGACAACAATTAATTTATCGAAGCATTCCGGTAATTAAATTCCAAAATTATAACGCAAGATATTACGAAATATTCAAACTTTCAAACATAATATATACATGAATGTGTATAACCAGTCACGGAAATGTTGCATTTTTTTTTTATAAATTCCGGAACGCGTCCCGTAGAGAAATTTGTTTTCAGTAATTCTGAGGAAATACATTCTCCTATTGGATGCGAAATTCATCGAAAAACACGTGTTACAACTTTTCTGTGATCGACCATATATACGCGATGTCACACTAACCCGCACGATGTGCTTTTCATATGTTACAACTGATATTAAATCTAAAGGAAAAGGCGCGGCTTAATGCGCAACTATATGAAAAAGATCTCTCAAAATGTATCTTCAAAACAGGCAAGTTTTGCTACAAGTGGTATAAAAATATGTATCTTACATTATGGACTTCCGATCGTTCATACATTGAAAAAAGATTGCTGCGTTCAAGTAAATATTGGCTAAGGAGTATATAGGAACAGTTTATTTGAATTAAGTTGATATTGAATGTTTTTCTCTTTCAATATGCTAAATTCAAGTAATATCAAATTTACTCTAAATTAACTACTCTAATATTCGTTGACAAGTGTTTGCTTGAGCGTAGTAACACTTCTTTTCTGTATTATAATGCGTCCGATCGTTTTTATTCTTCCTTTTCTTTAACATACGAAAATATTTGCAGTATTTGTAAACTGAAGAAACCATGAAATTTTGCGTTCTCTGATAATAAAACGTTATTAAGATTATTCTTTTTTCCTTTAGGTACTCAGGACTTTGATTACCAAATCAATCAATATAATTTGCAAAGGATTTGATTGACAGGCGGGATCTTGTCGACATTCCTCGGATTCTTTTATAGAAATTGCCAAATAACAAAGTCTTATCGCTCTGTTATATTCTACTTTATGGATGGTAATTTAATTTGAAAGAAATTGATGCAATTTCAAATCGATACTCATAATCACACACCACGGTATCAAATGTAAAATATGGAAAAGTCCCGGCTTTTTATTTGAGATTATGGTTGAAAAAGATTCTTGCAATAGAAATATATCTCACGTTCCCATTTTTTTTTCTTTTTGCATTCTGTTACATCTCGTGAATCGAGAAAGTCTCGAAACTGCATCAAGGTGAATGTCGAACGTACCTCTTTGATACACTCATCTGTATCGTCCGAGATTTCGAAGTATCAAACTCTCTCGATCTTGGAGCACGATGAATTCGAGTAATGCCATATGTCTATTTCCTTGTCCTGCTCACATCACGCTGATGTCGAAGAAAAAGCTCGTAAGATTTTCCGTAATATCTCACTAAAGAACTTTGCGTTTACGCATGCACGATCGTGTCTTTTGATTGCGAAATAGATAGCGATTGAAATTATTAGATTTTAGAATTATCAGATCTCCTTTATTTAGATTCCAATTTTTTTTTTAATGTCTTTCAGAATGAAGCGAAAATAACTTTTGTAGACTGAGATTTCGCGACGAATAAAGAGCGCTGTCAGCATGCAGCGAAATTGCAACGTCACAGCTAGTTGCAGATAAGATATCGCGACAGTTGAAAAGGACGAAGCAAAGGACAAACGGCGGCGGACCGGCTAACGGCCGAGCCACGTGGTTTGGTTTCGAATAGTCTCGAGATGCGCTCACGGTTTGTCACTCTCAATTTTTTTGCTTGTTTCTTGAATTTATACATATAAATAGATACGACGCACGTGCGTGCACACACACACGCGCGCATACACACACACACACACACACACACTGTACTCGATACTCGGCGTGACGTGATGTGATTTGATCTGACGTGACGTGAGGTGAGACGAAGAGAGGTGAGATGACGCGACACGAGACGCGGTTCAACGTGGCGGTCCGACAAACGCGTTAGTTCACAAGGCTAACAGCAACCGGCCGTGTGCTAACTGGCGCGCTACGCTCGCGGCTCTCCCTTAAATACCGCCGACAGTTCGGCGGGTGGTTCGGTTGTCCAATTCACCTATAACGTCCTGTCACTTACGGCTTCTCTTCTCTCTCTCATTTCGCCTCTTCTCTACTCTTCTCCACACTCCATCCTTCCTATTTTACCCTCGTATACTCTCCTCTACGCTCTATCCTACTCTGGGTTTCCCTTCCGTAACCCCCCTGCCTCCACCCCACTATTCGGACACCAACGAAACTCCACCCTCTGCTCTCTCCCTTCTTCTTATCCTACTCCTTCGCATCACCACCATCTACCACCAACGAGCCGCGCGCCTGCCAAATCCAATCCCACCTACTCATCTTGGGATCGAATCTCTTTTTTCGGATAGTCTTCTTTGTTTCTTAGCCGCAATTTGCTCTCTTCTCTTTTTGGCTTTCAGCCCGATTTCTTCGAACGATTGCGGTAAATGGAGGCGCTTTGGTATCGCTATCACATCCATCACTACTCGTTACTACAACTGCGATTACTGATGTTTCACATTCCGCTGTAATCATGTGCGGTAGCAAAGGATACGTACTATCGCGCACGACGTAGAGAGAGAGAGAGAGAGATATGTAGGTCGCGATCTTTCGCATTCTCATCGTGTAACAAGCGTATAGTTAGCGATATAAAATGTAATTTAAAAATATATGAGGAGAGAGAGAGAGAGAGAGAGAGATGTGGGGAGTTTAATATAAAATTGTTGCCAGAAAATATCGATATTAATTTGATCGGAGGATACGTCTAAAAAATTGTGCGATTCGAGTCAACCAATATAATTAACAAGTTATTTCAGACTTTACTTAACTTGACTTTATTAAAAAGTTCATTTCGATTTGTTCGTTTTCTCGTTACTCAATCATATAAAGTGATGTTACACATCGACACCGATATATTGCCGATGATAATAAGTTGTGCAAGATCATGCGTCGAAAGCTGTTCTCGTTATCGATTGCAAATTCCAAAACATCGTACCACATGACCAAAGGTCGTTTTTCGTGCGAGACACGCGATAAACCTTTGTCCCTGTATGTCGTGCAATCAATCTGTTTAATCTATATATCCACACAAACGTTCGTTTCAAGGAACTTCTTATACACATGGTGTACATCAAATTACCAACTGTCGCGATCTTGTCCAATGTAACTGTGGAAGATTCGTCACTTTGCGAAGCTGTCCGGCGATTTTTCTCCGATGAAATCAACACGGTCGAAATTATTTGGCGAAAAGGGAACAGCTGGCAGACACTTTCTACCTATTGTAGCCCGTAGTTACGACTCGACACCAGTGGAGGACGAAAAGGTGCAGGCGGTTTGAAGAAGAGCGATAGGAGGTATAAGGGAAGAAAAGGGCTACGATTGAGCCAACGCGACGCGAGACGAGGCGGAGCGAAGCGAGAATGTGAGGAGGAGATAGTTTTTGGCGCGATTGTTCGGCTTTTGTGAGGAAATACACGAACGCTTTTTATCCTGAAAGCGGTACAGTGTGGAGCAAACTTTCAGGTTCAGGAGAACCAATTTTGGGCAACATCGTATAATAATAATACGCTTCTCGTCTTGAGACGAGAGTGGCTATCGATGCGCCAAGTTAGACACTTGCTTCAAATCGAAAATAATTTGAAAATGCTGGAAAAATAATATACAGGATAGCAAGGGGAGCGTTTAATGCATATTTCGAGTTACTGATAACGCTGGACGAAAGCTGCGTAGATGGAGTCCCCTCAGTAGGACTTACACCTTTGCTCGGAGGGATCTCGTCGACGAACCGGCGAGTTGACCCCCTTTTAGGGCTGCTTTCGAGAGGCATTCAGGCAACCACTGTTTCCGCGGCAATTGTCGCGCAATAATTACATAATTCTCGCCACACTTGTAACTTGGCACCAGCAAGGACCGTCGAAGGCAGTTGAAACCACAAGTGGTTTCGGGGCGTTGGAAGGGAAGATTGTAGTAGCTGATTCATGCGAAACAATACGTTCTGAGCTACGATTAACCATACGAAACGATATCATGTAAAAGGACGAAAATTCTTCTTTATTTGTCCCGTCCAAAGATGGGACGTACTGTGTAATTCGTGTTCTACCTCTTGGAAAAATATGTGGATAAACGAAATTGAATATATGTAATCTGTGCATGGCTTGGTTCGGACGTTATTAATTGATTTTATGACATTCGTTATATCGAGCATCAAATAACCAAAGGAAAGAAGGTGATGCACCCTCCTAGCGCGAGTCATGCATGACGCCCTTTTCCACCGATACGCCGATCTAATAAATGCTTTTCATTGGCGCAGCCTTCAAAGTGAACAGTCGGTTTAACATTTGGTCGTCTCAAACGTCAATGAGACATTATTAGAACGTTGTTTGACTTGCTATTTGAAAAGTAATCGATCGAGGACGAAATGTCGTTTGGTTCGCGTCAAAGAGCCAAATTTTCACATCCGTCCGACTGAATTAGCCTGGTTGTTACTACAAGGAGAAATTTTGTGGAGTTTCTGTTGAAGCACGGTGAAAGAGAGAGAAAAGGCGTTACACGAAGGAACGTTGAAAATTCGCGAAGAATGGAAGAGAGTCGACTGTCCTGCTCTAGTAATTTATCCGCGTCTCTCTTCCTTCACTTGACTTCGCGATGAGACAATGGGGTAACAGTTGCAAGACGCGATAGCGCTGGATTAATTCTCGATCGATTTCGAAGAAACTCCATCGTATTGTCCACGATCGACCCTTAGCTCAACATAGCCGGCGTTTGTGTGGGAGTGTGGGTGCGCGTATTGGTGCGCGCGTAGGAAGGAGCATCCCAGAACATCCCAGACCGAAGATCAAATTATTATTATCATAACCATCTGCCCACCACTTCCGAAAGCTTAAAAGCTGCTTCGTTCACCAGATCAAAGGAGCTAACGTTGCACTCTCGAGAATAGAAAAAAACACAGTCAATGTCCCAAGTGAGTAGAACGAGTGCTACGCGCGCTAAAGTACTTTTGGGAGTACTGCGATGCAATTTTAGTCGTGCCTATAACGCGATTTTCGAACGTCCTGCGTGTAACAATCTGTCGCGGATTTCTTTTTGCGGAATATGCTAAAATGATAATTGTGTACACGGCTGCAACGTGTCTGCACGCGTGTTTTAATATTCGCGCCAAGTTGTGAGCGGGAGAAATGTCAGTCCTTTTGGAATGGAAAGACGTAATTGATACGTACAAATCACCCCGCTGCTGACGCGAGGAGGATGGGTCGTGTACGCGAGTGTACCGAGAAGGGACGATCGACGAACGGTTGTTTGACGGCACCTCCCCCCTGCACTGACGCACGATGAAGCTGGTATCGCATTCACGGTCCACTGCCTCAGGATTCGTACCTCTACCCCGCTTCTATGCCAGCTCCTCCTCGTAAAAAAAAAAGGGGAAGGAAAAAAAGAGAGAAGATGGAAAAAAAGAAATGACTACAGAAAGGCCTGTCCTGCGATCCGTAACACTTGATCGTCAGAATCGAAGATAACGCTGCATAAATAATATGTAGCAGCATCTGTAGACTATGTTGGACGGGTTGATTCACTTGATAATATAAATGGTTCAATCGCGAAATATTGGGTTTATAGATGAAAAAGCGATTTCGCCTCTTTTCTACCTCTGATTAAAAGTAAAAGTGGGCAAGTGTTTGAATGGAATACGAGCAGTTTTTCGGGGTGGTAGGTCCTCGCATTATATATCTGGCCGAGATATTGTAACATGCGTTTCTATTTACCGACTTGGTTTCAAAACGCTTTGAACGTTTTTTCTGTTGTTTTCGATGCAGTTCGATGGTCCAGTGAAAGAATCGATTAACTCCTACAAGTTTTCTCATCGAACTGCATCGAAAAAAATGTGTTCAAGACGTTTTAAAATTGAGTATATACATGTGAGCGACATGTAACTTAACGTACGAAGTTGAATTGTAAAATGAACGAAAGATGGAATAGTTTCGAAGATCTCATTCTAATAGCACGCACTGGCTTTTTGCCAAGTTGCAATGCCGGGCCATTAACGATCGGGCTTGCTTATCAGTTGCTGAGTTCGCGCTACCGTGCCGACACGATGACCAGCCGCCCGAGATGAAACTGTTTCTATCCTCGTATCACTTAGAGAACCTCTACGTCTCATAATTCGCCAGATACCGGCCATAAATGATGAAAACGATCGTCGTAATCGTCAGTGCTGACGTCTATCTTTGATATCTTGGTGTTTCATCGATCGTGAACCTACTCATGCATCGTACAGCGAATGTCAATGTTATATCAAACATGAGCGTCGTTTTGTCGTTAGTTCTTCGTCATTAATAATGTGTCTTAATGATTAATACATAATGTTAATAGAAAATGAGACATACCGACATTCCCTCTTAAAAGACGTTAATTTCTCACATGTATAATATCTCGAGAGAAATATATCCATGCAGCATAAGCATGTTGAATCAATATCTCGAATAACGTTGCATCGCAACAATATTGCATCAACGTTGCGAAATGTCGAAAAGGCGTTGCAGAAACATTTAATTGTTCATTGAATTGCAATACCTTGTAGGCAATTTTAATTCAATATTCAGAAAATATTGTTCAGGAAAGGAAAGACGTGCTGTCTGTCGGTAAAAGCTGTTTCACACATGTACGTTTTCTTGCATCGCTGCGTAGATCCGATCTCAAACAGTCGCTCTTAGTACGCCCTCGTTTAACCTCGATGATCGAACGGCAGGTGGTATTCTGAACGCGTTTACAACGATGTTAGCGCGCTAATAAGAGATTTGAGCATTTTCAGTATCGCTTATATTCTAAACGTGGTGATAACAGAAAAAATCGATTAAATCATTTTTTTTAAGCAATTAATAATATCTTCAATGTTGTTTAAACGTTGTAGCAAACAATCAGTGCTGAAGAGTGAACACAGATACAACGTTGGGAAGATATCAACACTTGAACATTGCAACGTTTCAGCAACGTTGTCTCTACTTTCTCTATGTCTTATGGGTATATCAATTATGCCCTATGAGCGTGCAATATTCCTGGAATATTATATGAATACCATTAAATATTAAAATCATATTCTAGGAATGTTATGTAATATTTTTTTAATATTATAGGAATGTTCTATCGATGTTCCATATCCATACATAGTCTTGGCATATTATACAAATGTTCTTAGAATATTAAAAAAAATTAAATTATATATATATATATATATATAATTTTGTTAATATTCTATACAATTGTTTAGTATAAAACATATTTTTACACAAAATTATTTTGACCAATCATTATTTTCCTTGCGATCGAAAATAATCGACTGCGAGTTAGTTAATTTCTTGCAACCTTGCGCGACTGATGTAGAATCAGCTTAAGGGAGAATTCGCACCCTACAGAAAGCAGAAAAGTGGCAGCCAATTAAAACTCGTGCTGGTGTTCGATAGTTTCTGCTCTATCTACTGTTTACTACCAGCGCGAGTTTTGATTGGCTGCTGCTTTTCTGTCCAGGCTTCTGAATTCTCCCTAAAGTTTACGTTCTACATTAATAGCGGGTCGATTGCAACTCTTGTTGCGACAGCCAATGTGAATTCTTCATTAGATACTTTCCATTTAGTGACACATTTCGTCTTTGTTCCATAATCAATGAGTAACAAAGATAGGATGATACTTGTGTCGACTTGTATCACCAAATGGAAAACACTCATTAAAGGAAGCAACAATTGATGATGAAGAAGCATATGAAAGGATCGAAAATTGATTCACCGTTGAAAGAATCGATCCGTACAAAAATGGAACGGAAAAGGACCGATTAGGGATGGATGAAATTTTTCAAACATCGATGTTCGCTCATTGAGAATGTGTCGTACAACAAGTTTGTCGGATGTGTCAATTGGCTGTCAGATAGAGAATTTCTAGAGTCCCCATTTTCTCTAGATGTGATACCTCTAATACTTTCTTAGATGCCATTTGTCATTAGAAGTAATGTCCGGAGGAGCCTTGCCGCGCGGCGAATAATCAACATGCCGTTTTTCGGTAAGAACTAGAAGTTTATTGGCTACCGCGCGTTATCGCGTGCTGTGGGCAGAAGCCCAATAGACTTTTAACGCTGTCAGTAAATTTTGGAACACAGCCAAGATCTTTGCAGCCTTTATTCAACGGAATTTATCGGTTCAGACAATTAATCGATTCGTCAATTATTTTTCAGTTATGTTTAAACAATGATGGTAGCACACGACGCTCGCGTTAACGCGCGAGTCACCAAACACGCCAGCTAGCTATAAAAGAGAGAGAGATTTGCCATCATGCGTATTGGTTTTTCGCAAATAAAATGCGCGTCACACGATGCTTGTTTAATTCTCCATTCTGATTGGTCGCGCTCACCGTCGCTCAAGTCTCACGTTCTTTTGCACGACTCGCTTGAAACGCGGCATCTGCTCTTACATGCGTATAGGCCGTGCCTGTGATGTCGCATAGACGCCAAAAGTGCTGCCATCATGGAAACACTCGGCGACGCTATCGAGAGTTGCGCTCCCTCCAAAAAATCCGCGTGCATTGGCAACATTGTTTTTTGGTAGTTTACAAATAAAATGGCCGATATGTGAGGCTATTTTGTATGAACAATAAAATATGCAATTATTTAAAATTAATGACCATCGACGGTGCTCGCGACCGAGTGAGAGTGTGGTCCCGATAGCGCGAAACGCGGAAAAAGTGGACGGACTGTGAGCGAGAGTGCGGGAGTGCCGCGGGAAGAAGGTGGAGGTTGCCCCGAAGAGAACCGTGGACGCCGCGGGTCCGAAGACCGAAACGGAGATTCGCTCACGGTCTCCAACACATAGAAAAGCCATTGAGTGGCGTGTTTTTTTCTATTGGCGCACAGTGGCGCGGCAACAATACGAAAGCGGGTGCTGCATCAACGTAAACTCTCGGAGGATGTTCGTAATGTGAAGACGCCTGCTCCGGTATTATTCCGGCAATCGCCCGCCTCGTGTCTCTCTCAAGGCAGCACGGATGCGTGTTCCATCCTACTTATGATCCGCGCGAGATATTAACCATTGTTACAGAGTCCCGTATCATGTGGCCCGTATAGCTCGAATATCATTGCCACTCCTGGCGCAGATATGATACTCCTCGCATTTTGCGTTCGGCAGCGAGATACTGGAGTGTGACGGGTACGTTCAACCTCTCAAAATATTTCCCACAGATCAGTTTGTTGTAGTGGAAAGGGTTGGTGCGGAAAATGCGCTGACGGAGCGGTCTGTCAATACCAATCAGGCTACTAACCCATCCATTACAACTCTCACGAATATGTGTACGGCTCCTAGCAATGCCAGTGCAGGATTCGGTGGATACGCTTGGTCCTTCAGCGGGCCAGGGACGGAGACCCGGGAAAATACCCAGAACGACCTCACAACAAACATCAATTACGCTGTCAACAATAATCAAGATCAAGGATCCAGTCAGAAGATACAGGTTGACATTAAGCCGGCCAAGGTTGCCGCTACCGCGCATCGTCGCCCAATGTTCGCAATGAATGACAGTTGTCAACAAACACCTACTACGCATCATGGCCACACCAGCGGCGGAGCGCACAATCAAACTGCCCACGGCACTCATGTTCGTACTAAAAAGCATCACGACGTATTTTCATTACCGTGCGACAAGGGAGGCTGTAACTGCGACTCGCCACACCCCACGCCAGCACCCACCCTGTTTCCAAACACCTTAGTTTTTACAACCGACAAGCACGCCATGAGTAAGCACTTCATGACACCCCTCGGGCCGTTGCAACTTACGGCGGAAGAATGTAATGAAATTTTAATGAAGAGAGCCGCAGCAGCGTCGAATCAAGCCAACGCGGCGAATAACGTGACAACGAACCAGACGGACAGTACCACACACTTCGGGCATGTTCTCACTCATGTGAATACAACGCAGATCGAGACCAAGGTCAAGCAGCAGCAAGATATGGGAAGCCAAGTCCGCGTGCCGAAGGAACGGCCGTATTCCTGTACAGAGTGCGGCAAGTCTTTCCTGCTGAAGCATCATCTCACGACGCACGCGAGGGTACACACCGGAGAACGACCTCACATTTGCGTTCATTGTGGCAAAAGTTTCGCGCACAAACATTGTCTTCATACGCATTTACTGCTGCATAGCGCCGAAAGACCGTACCAATGTCGCGAATGTAAAAAGTCTTTCACGCTGAAGCATCATCTCGTAACGCATACCCGCGTGCATACGCGGGAACGGCCCTTCGTCTGCCAGGAATGTGGCAGAGCCTTCCCTCTGAAGCGTCACTTGGTGACGCACAGTAAGTTCCATTCGGGAGAAAGACCTTACGTTTGCGAGGAATGTGGCGAATCGTTTTCTCAAAAGGATCACCTCACGATGCACTCGCGCTTTCACGGCAGTCTACATCCGTTCGTTTGCCACGATTGCGGCGCGACCTTCCAGAGGAAGTTCGAGCTGGTTAATCACGGTCGTTTACACGGCAGAAATCCGCATTCGTGTACTGTTTGTGGGAAGGAGTTTCTGCAAAAGCGAACACTCTTAGCTCATATGCGTTTACATACCGGCGAAACGCCTTTCGCTTGCACCGTCTGCGGAGAAGCATTCCCTCGGAAGGCGGACCTGGTCACTCACTCCAAGATTCACAATAGCAATGCAAATACCGATGAGAAATCTCTCACGTGCAGGTGAGCCATACGTCCGTTTATCACTATTCTACTACATTATCCATTTATCCGCTTTGGCTTTATCAGTGACTACATGTGACGATTGATTACCATCAGAGATGTACCGGGCTCTATGTAATCGGTTGAAAAATACCTATTGGAAAAATACATATGTATCGAGCGATATCACGGAGACGTCTTCTCTGCTCTTGGTATAGTTTTCGATTCATTCGAGTCAAAGCGTCGCACGTGTGAGAAGTCGACCGACGATCTCCAACGAATTATCGATGATCCTCTTCTTTTCTCTCTTTCTTTTTCAGGGAATGCGGGCTCGAATTTTCGAATCGGGAAGCCTTGACTCTACATCTAAGGTTACATTCTGGCGATCGCACACTCGTGACAGACCTGTGCGGCTTGGCGGCCGCCTTTCAACAAACTCCGGGACATTTTCTCACTCCGAATACTCCGGGAACTCATCAGGTAATGACCATAGTGCGCCCGCGGAGAGTAAAACATGTAAATTATAAATAAAGTATTTACAGATGAACGGCCCGATCGGCACGCCCGGCGTCAGTCATATGCACGGCGCGACGCAAACGTCACCCCCGGTGGGGACAGGACCGAAGCCTAAACCGCATATCTGTCCCGACTGTGGTCGCGGTTTTGCACAAAAGCACGGCTTGTCGCAGCATCAACGGCGTCATACGGACGGCAGCTGCCACATAAGATCCCACGTGTGCGACAAGTGCGGCAAAGCCTTCTTCCAGAAGAATCATCTGTTGTTACATCAGCGCCAGCATATGGACCCACCACCCAGTATACTTAGACAGCAACAGAGGCAAGCTGCCCAAGCCGCCGCTCAACAGGCGCAACAGCAGCAACAAGCACAGCAGGCGCAGCAGCAACAGGCGCAACAGCAGCAAGCGCAGCAGCAGGTACAGCAGCAAGTGCAGCAACAAGTGCAACCGCAGCAGCAGCCGCAACAGCAGCAGCAGTCATGTACCGTCGATACGAAAACGATGCAATTACAGGCGATACAACAGCAGGTGCAACAACAAGTGCAGCAACAGCAGCAGCAACAGCAGCAACAACAACAACAACAACAACAAACGCAACAACAAGCTTGTCCCGTAGATTCTAAAGCAATACAGCTGAATGTCACCATGTGAGACGGTATAAAGACAGGGGACTGGAGAGTCCCTGCAACAATAGCACTCCCAAATGCGCACCCTGCTGCCACCCTCTGCACGCACTTCTCTTGTACTAACAATACACATTAGATATATTTATTATCTCTAGATTTGAGTACGAAAATAATCAATTTTATTACGAGAGTATATATATATATATATATATATA